GTGATGAAACATATATCCATAGTCATTTGAACTATCTTCTAAAGGTAGCGTCCACTGTACCAAAACCTTGTGTTCAAAATTAACAATCAAATAGTGATCACACTAAGTGTTGGGGAAAAGGGTGAGGGCATCCTTCTCCAAATGTGGTATCCATAACAACCACATGCACAGGCAAGTAGCTATAGCATCGTTAATAAATTCTCATACCTGAAATGGATTTTCAATCCTTTCCCCTTCTAAAGGTTTTCCGTTTCATTTAAAAAAAAAAAAACATTAGAAAACGTATTGAAGAATAATATAATTGAGATGTTTGGGATGGTAATACATGTGTTTTACATACACGCTACTCTCTTTCTAGATGTGGATTTTTTTGTATTTACGAATGATTACATGTCTTACTTCAGAAAAATGGAATCATATTGAACTTAACACTACTCTCCTCGATGCCTGCATGGTTGGAGATTTGGCCCTCGTCAAGTTCATTTTGTCTGATGGCCGGGCAGATATCAACTCAATAGGGAAGGACAACATGACACCAGTGATGCATGCTGCAAAGGAGGGACATGAAGAAGTGTTTGACCTACTCGTCAGGGGAAGGTGCCAACGTGTCTTTAGTGGATGATAAAGATAGGAACATTCTTCATTTAGCTTGTATTGGAGGAAATGTTGAAATAGTAAAGTATGCCCTCACCAAGAATATTGTGGGCATCAACAGTCGAGGAACGGATGGGTGGACACCAGCAATGATTGCAGCTTTATACAAAAGAAAGGACGTGTTTGATTTACTTGTGGGGGCAGGGGCAGATCTGTTACTGTTGAATGAGCTCAAAGAAACCATACTTCATGTGGCCTGTGAAGGGGGGTAATGTTGAGATAGTCAAGTATCTCATGAAACATGACATTGTGGACATTGACAGTCGAGACTTGAACGATGAGACACCAGTAATGGCCAGTGTTGGACATGAGGATGTGTTTCACGTTCTTGTGAAGGCAGGAGCAGATCTATCGCTAGTGAATAGTGACAACGAAACCATCCTTCATTTGGCCTGTCAAGGAGGAATTATTAAAATAATCAAGTACCTTATGAAACATGACATTGTGGACATCGGGAGTCGAGATGTTGTCGGTTGGACACCAGTAATGCATGCAGTCAATGATGGACGTGAGGATGTGTTCAACTTCCTTGTTGAAAAAGGGGCAGATCTGTCACAAGTGAGTTATGACGAAGAAAACATCCTTCATTTGGCCTGTGGAGGACGTAATGTTGAGATAATCAAGTACCTGCTGAGACATGCAGTTGTGGACATTGACAGTCGAGACATCAACGGCTGGACACCAGTAATGTATGCAGTCAGTTATGGACATAAAAATATGCTTGACATTCTTGTGAAGGCAGGAGCAGATATGTCAGTAGTGAGTTATGACAAAGAAAACATCCTTCATTTGGCCTGTGGAGGAGGTAATGTTGAGATAATCAAGTACCTGCTGAGACATGCATTTGTGGACATTGACAGTCGAGACATCAACGGTTGGACACCAGGAATGCATGCAGCCAGTAATGGACATAAGGATGTGTTTGACGTTCTTGTGGAGGCAGGAGCAGATATGTCAGTAGTGAGTAATGACAAAGAAAACATCCTTCATTTGGCCTGTGGAGGAGGTAATGTTGAGATAATCAAGTACCTGCTGAGACATGCAGTTGTGGACATTGAAAGTCGAGACATCAACGGTTGGACACCAGGAATGTATGCAGCCAGTAACGGACATAAGGATGTGTTTGACGTTCTTGTGGAGGCAGGAGCAGATATGTCAGTAGTGAGTAATGACAAAGAAAACATCCTTCATTTGGCCTGTGGAGGAGGTAATGTTGAGATAATCAAGTACCTGCTGAGACATGCATTTGTGGACATTGACAGTCAAGACATCAACGGTTGGACACCAGGAATGCATGCAGCCAGTTATGGACATAAGGATGTGTTTGACGTTCTTGTGGAGGCAGGGGCAGATCTGTCACAAGTGGGTAATAAGAAAGAAACTATACTTCATGTGTCTTGTGAAAAAGGAAATGTTGAGATAATCAAGTACCTCTTGACACATAAAATTGTCGACATCGACAGTCGAGATGAGAAAGGCTTGACTCCCATAATGCATACAACAATAGACAAAAGGAAAGACGTGTTTGACTTACTTGTGAAAGGGGGCGCTGATCTGTCAATACTGGATAAAAACAATAACAACATCCTTCATCTGGCCTGTAATCACGACAGTGTTGAGATAATCAAGCAACTCCTGACAGACAAGCTTGTGGATATCAACAGTCGAGATGAGGACGACTGTACGTCAGCAATGATTGCAGCGCGTGACGGACATGAGGCTGTCTTTAACTTACTTGTTGAGAATGGGGCTGATCTAACAATTATAAATGATGTTGGTGATAACATCCTAAATATGGCTTGTGAAGGAGGGAATGTACACATAGTGGAGTATGTTTCAACACGACACATTGTTGAGGGACCGTACAGGGAGGACGATCCATGTTGAAGGAGTCTCTAACATATGTAAAGACATATTTTAGAAACGATTTCTTCATCGTTCTTTCTGGTAAATCAATACTGAACTTTCGTATTGATAACATTAACACAAAATAGGGGTATTAATCATTGATGCCAGAAGTAGACGTTGTAATGAGCACCAAGTTTTTCCCCACATTTCTTTATGCACGTAAACTGGAATTGCTGGTTTGATTTCAAAATCATAACTGAACCAACGCACCATTTCTACAATAAATCACGACAGCCTATTCGAACATACCGACGTTAAACCGTTGTCCGTGGAGCTGAAATGAACGTCATATGTTACTGCAATAGCTACGCCATCCCTTGCATAAAAAGGGGGCGGTGGGACATCCCTGTGGTAAAAGCGTTCTCTGTAACATCATTTTGTCTGACTTTTCGTTCAGTGGAAAGCAATGTATGTCTCTATGTTTTCACACAAATGTACTGACAAAATAGCTTACATGACGTCCTGTCTCGAAGATCGTTTGTCATTCACTAAATATTTAAATACCTAAACTGGCCAATCAGAATATTCATCAATACAAATGTTTATAATGAATTGTTCAGTATGATGGAATTGTACCACAAACATATCGGGTAATAAACAAAATAGCTCACATGACATCCATCGTCGAATATTGTTATTTTTCAGTAAATATTTTGTCTTACACATTTGAATTGAAAACCAGAATATCAATATCATCAATACGAATGTACAAACTTCATTCTCCATACATAGAGGATTGTACCACAAACATATCAATTTCCAAAGACTTTTACAGAAGAATACTTTGCTCCACCAGTACCCTGAGGAACTAAACGGCATATACAAAATGTTTCAATCAGTGAAGAAGATTGGAAACAGCCTCAAGAAACGCTTTGTTCAGAATAAGTAATATTCTTCATTTATTTGGTTACGCAAAATTAAATTTATTTTAGTAATGATTACTTCACACCAATCCCTCAAAATGTTTTAATGTAATGTGTTATATATACAATGGAAACATTTCCGCTATTTAGAAACCTATTAAATATATCAATGTTATACTATGGTACTCGACGTCTGTTATCCTTGAATGTGCTGGTTCTTCCAGAAGTCAAAATGCATTTGGCTTAGAACTTGTAGAATGCCCTTTGTACATTTGGCAATACTCTAAACAGGATGAAAATATTCTGGAATGTGTATGCAACATTCGCAAATCAACCGCCAGCAACTTTGAATTCCTTTCTTATGGATGTTGAGTCACGTTACCGAGATCGTTTTTAAAGACCATGGTTATATGAACCATGAAAATGAAAATCCAAGTGATCTAGAAACAGATAACATTCTGATAGAATCTTACATTCTCACTCATTACCTGGTGGTATGTGAATTTGATCCTTTATCTATGTTTTAAGTAGGATGACTTCCAGTAACTGTGATCATGTTCAATACAGAGATATCGAAAACAGCCTTGGGGGCAATAATCTTCACCACTCCGAAAAACTATTTTCTTTAATGATTTGTATCAGATAATCTCCATCTGAAGCGATAGTTTGGAAGATTTTCATGACAAATGTAATCATGTGTTACGGTTAATAATTTGACGTGACAAACGGTTTAAATGTCCGCTTTGAACCAGCAAAATAGAACACAGACAAGTCTGAAATATTCAATAATATATCGAGCGAACAATGACCAAGCTACAACGAATGACAATACAGATTTATAGCGCAGTGTAGTTGAGTCACAAATCTAAAATGCTGGGTCACAAATATAAAATATTAACTCACCAGAGTCTTGACATTTACAGTGAGAGCAGATGTACTGATTGAAAGTTGTTTACAATGGCAACAGTTGAACAGGCAAGCACGATCGTTCTTGAGATGATGGCAGACAGATGTGTATAACTCCAGTCATGTGAAAAGCCTGTGTCGCACTACACAACAACCAGCCTTTATATACCTCTTACACAGTTCTCGAACATTCTAGCAAAGCTAGGCTGCATCATTATTCTCTTAGACCGTTACGTGATTTTTCTCGAACATACGACCGGAAGTCGAAACAAAATAAAGCCAGCCAAGGGAGGCAACTCTGAGGTGCTATCAAAAAGGCATACCGCTAAAACTACATGGCTGTAGCGCTAGGCACGTGTCTGGCAGACAAAGAAATCCCATCGCCGTTAGCTCCTGTGGAAGTCGTAGCTTGCTGGCCAGCAGTAAGATGGGAGATGAAGGCCGGGGGCACGTGTCAGTCCCACTAACCAGCTGAAGCACATTCCCCACGTAGGACAAGGTGGCAGGCTTTGTGTGACTAGGAGGCTTGCTCCTGGAGACAATAGGCATGTCTTGTGTTGCCCGATCAGCGAACAAAGCCTGCCTGGGGTAAACCAGGTTGATCCCGTCAGCATCACCTGAAGCCCTAGGGTTCTCCCCTTGTGGGGAATGGCTCTCCGGTCAGGACAGTAAGTGATACCCAGCTTTCCCAGGAAGAGCACCTAAAGCCTTCACGGTACTGACAGATGAACCAGCCTTTGCCCTCGTCAAACAGTCAGTATTATTCATAGACATATTGCCATGATCAATACTCTCTTGATACATTCTCTGTAGAGAGTTGATTTTCGCCTCATTCCTCACTTCCATCTCCTTCATAGTCTGGCTAACTGAGGCTTGCAGCTCTGTTTTAAATGAGGAAAACAAATTTGCTATATCCAAATGAGAAGAATCAGATTTTGATCTAGACCTCGACTTTGATTTAGGCTCCGATCTCTGAGAAGAAGAGGGTGAATCAGGGGTGGATTTTGTAGGTTTACTAGCCTCGGAACATGGAGACCTCTTACGTTTTTTAGACTGAGACCTAGCTGCATCCATGTTAAGCCACTCATTTTCTGACAAGGCATAGCTTAACAAACAACTATCTACAAGGGTGAAGGGGGTCCCTGTAAAACACGCTAAGCAAAGAGGGTGTCCGCCCAGGTAGTCGACAAATGAAATTTCAATTTCAAGTCGACAAACCGAGTCCCGGTTTGTAGACAGGTGCTGTACCGCTTTTGTCGACTTCCCGGGTAGTGTTTAGATAATTAAGTACTGATGTTTTGACAGTAAATGATATACTCCAGTGAGTATATCATTAGTGTTTAGATATCAATCTTTTTTACAGTTTAAGAACAAAAGAACAAAGTCAATGATAATCCTATGCTCAAATCTCATGTCTTTGGATTGTTTCAGTAAATCGGTTATTGAGTTAAAGCAATTAGTATCGTTGGTGAATATAAATCAGTTGCAGAATGAATTCATTACCAAGTGCGAAATCAGCTATGCTGGTCGTGCTTGTTAAATCTCATAATAACGAACAAACGAACGAAGAAGCGAACGTGTTAAATCTCATTATGGCGAATGCTTTGGTACGTGTGACGCTGATAGACAACCTTCATGGCGGTAGGCATCCTTATCATCAGGGATACAAGTTCTGGATTGACAGAAAGTGGGCAGAGAAGACATACTGGAAATGTACACACCCTGGGTGCAGTGCCCATGTTATGACAGTGGACGACATGGTCAACGCTGTTGCCAACGGTCACAACCTCCGTGCCCCAGAGTACGAGACTGAAGTTGATGCATTCAAAGCCAAGCTCCACAATCGAGCCAGATCCGACCCTACAACCCCCATTCCTCAGATCTACCAAGATGAAATTGCCAAGTTGCGGAGAAACCCAGATGTAGCATCTGACGCACTTCTGAGACTGATTCCCACATACGATGCCATGAGGATGAGTATGTACCGCCAGAGACACAAGACAGTACCAAGACTGCCCCAGACCTTACAGGAGAATCTAGAGCTGCTAAGTGATGCTGACGTCCTATTTGCTGATGCGACTTTCTCAACATGCCCCAGGCTCTTCGACCAGATATATTCCATCCATGCTGAATTCCAAGGACATATGTTGCCACTCGTGTATGGACGCATGTCAGACAGAACCGAGGACTCATACATACAGATGTTTACCTATCTGAAGCAGACCTCGGCGAACCTAGGACATCAGCTGGTACCAACAACTTTCCAGATGGACTTTGAGCGTGCGTCCAACAATGCTGTTGTCTTCCCTGGAACCCAGAGACGTGGTTGTTTTTTCCACTACACACAGTGTATATGGCGCCGTGTCCAAAAGATCAGACTAGCAACTGAATACAAACACGATGAGGATGTAACCAAGCTTGTGAGACGAACCGCTGCAAAGTTGAAGACGTTTGGGTAGATGCCATCGGTGATGTTCCTCAAGGTGAAAAGGCAACACAGCTGACTGACTACGTCACGCCAACCTGGATCGAAGGCTCTTGGCCACTGTCTATGTGTAACCACTTTGGCAATGATGGACATCGTATCAACAACAATCTTGAAGGCTGGCACCATAAAATATGTAATTTTCTTAGTAAAATTGATATTTTATACTTATCCTGACTCATGCTTATTGCTTGTCTCTTTCCTCTTTCGAACTTAGTGGAACACTTGTATCTCCTATTGAAGTTCCCTTCAATAAAACGTAAAATCACTACCCACCGGAGTTGTCTCTGTTTCCATTTTGGCGGGAAACCGTAGCGCCACCATTCTCCCACGCTTCACTCTCTCCTGATTATGAGCCCGACACTTGAATTTGCAGGGAAATCCAAAGTGTCTAGTGTGGAGGTTGGGAGGGCTTACCTCATGAGTCAGGATAAGTATAAAATATCAATTTTACTCAGAAAATTACATATTTTTCCTTATCCTGACTCATGCTTATTGCTTGTAGAATCCGACGGAAATTCGTATTAGCACTGTATTAACTGCTAATCTCTGCTGCTGGTACCCTGTCCTTCCAGCTGTCTTCTGACGAGGGGACCACAATAGTTAACGTTTGGTCCTTTCTGCTGTTAACCTTTTATGTGGATTTTGCGACTCCATCCCTTGATGCAAGCACCAAGTGGAGAAGCGACCCTTTCCTGTACGAGTATTCTTACAAGTACTGGGTCTTATCACTTATGCTTGTCCTTAGACGTGCATTTAGACTTGAAGCAGAACTCTCCGGAGTGTAGGCTATTTTCCAGTCATGTGATAAAGGGCGAGACTTCGTCTCAACCTCTTTAAGGGACTGTCAACTGTTGTGCTACAACCAACGGCCCGAAATGAGAACTTCCTGGTAGTACTTCTTTTACTGCCAGGCTCTGCTGCTGCTGTAACCCTTCACTTTCAGCTTTCTCTGATGAAGGGACCACAATAGTTAACTTCTGGTCTTTGAGACTCCGTCTCAGCACCTTTGTGGGACTGTCAATTGTTGTGCTACAACAAGTGGGCCGAAATGGTGAATGCCAGAGCCGACCTCAGTGGCGATGTCCTTCAGGTAGTGGTTGGCAAACACCATGTCCCATTTCCAGAAGCAGCCCTCCATTATCGATCGAATAGAACAATTCCCATGTAGAGCGAGTGTTGAAGCCAGAGCTCTAACTTCATGAGGGTTGGAGGCTCTGGGAGGGAGGATCAAGTCCTGCTGCTCTGTAGGCCCGGAGTATGACAGTTCTGACCCAGATTGATATCTTAGTGCGGAAGACCTCCGTCTGTGTCGCTATCGATATCGGGAAAAAAAGACGCTTGAATTTTCCATCCCCTGGACCTGGATCTTTGTAGGTAGACTTGCAATGCTCTCACTGGGCACAAGGATAGGTCCTGCGTATCCTGCGGTCCAAGGACTGATGATAGTGTTGCGACGTGGAACTGTCTGTCTGGATGACCTGGCAGTTGATTATTTGCTATGAAGTCCCATCTCAGTCCCACATGCACAATGTTTTGATCTTCATCAAATCATGTTTTCTCGAAGGCCAGAGCATTTATTTCCAACATCCTTGCTGCTGTTGCTAAGGTGATCAGGAACAGCAGCGTCTATGTCAAGAACTTGAAGGATGTCCACTCTAATGGTTCGGAGATGACACTAGTGAGATGTCGTAGAACTACGTTGAGGCCCACGCCTGAGCTTTAAATCTCTGGTGTTGGTCCTCCAATTTATAAGAGCGTACTAAGGCCAGTAACTCTGGTACTTTCGTCAGTTGCACTCGTCCTCATGGGATAACTGAGCCCAATGCCGCTAGGTATGTTGAGAGTGTTGACCCTTTTGACCGCTTCCTTTGTCTAGGTGACAAAGGTAGTCCGCCACTTGAGGATGTGTCGCTTTTATGGCTGTGAATCCGGTCCTCGAAGTGTATGTCTCGAAGCGTCGCCACTTGTCGTCGTACAAGTTGCATGTAGACTTGCGTAAAGCTAGTGTAACTGCTTTCGCTGCCCTGGCGGAATATCCTCTCTTGTTCAAGCATGCCTTGATACAGTCCACACGTGTAACTGGAATACCTCTAGGTTGTCGTGCGCCTGCTTTGTGGGAGGATGTACTAGTAGATTTGTCCACTCTGGTAGTTGCAGTTGTGGCAGGCCTAGGTCTTGTATGAGAATAGGGAACCATATTCTCGCTGGCCAGTAAGGCGTGCCCAAAATCAGTTGGAGGTCCTTCGTCCGACTGATTTTCTGCAACACCCTCAGTATTAGAGCTGGTGGTGGAAAAGTGTAAGCGTTTAGTCCTTGCCAGGAGGTGCTGAGAGCATCCGGTGCCCATTCTCGTGGATCTGGTGACAAATGTTATCAGTTGACCCTTGTGGCGAAGAGGTCTATTAGTGGTGCTTCCATCTCAGGTATGATCTGCTTGAAGATCCCTGGATGTTGCAGTTGACCCTTGTGGCGAAGAGGTCTATTAGTGGTGCTTTCATCTCTGGTATGATCTGTTTGAAGATCCCTGGATGTAGCATCCATGATGGCTGCATTGGACGGGATAGTGCGTCTGCTATCACATTCTTGGCTCCTGGAATGTGGCATGTTCTTATGTGGATGTTCCGATTGTCTGTTATGCTGGCCAGTTGAAAGCAGATGTCCAGAAGGATCGCCGACCTTGTAGATCCTTCTGTGTATGTAGAACGCCACTGAAGAGTTGACTGTATGTACCGTCAGATGGGCATTCTTCAAAATGCTGGTCCAGTAGAGTATGGCGTTTATCACTGATTTCATTTCCAGCATGTTGATGTACAGATCTTTCTCTTCTATGGACCATATCCTAGCTGACACTTCATTGTCGAGGTGTGCTCCCCAACCTTGAAGAGATGCGTCCACATGGAGATGCGTCTTGCACACAGGCTCTGCTAAAATAGGTGCGTCTGCGACCAACGGATCTCTGGGGCCACCATATTAGATATGGTTTGAGTCCATCCGGGGGTTCGAAGGGGTCCGGATTGTATAGTTGTACATTCACGAAGACCTTTATAGGCTTAGTTGTAGACTCCCTCTGTGGGTCATGTCCTGTGCTGACTTGAGAAGACCCAACAGACTCTGCCACTTCGTAGAAATAACGGAGAGAGTAGTGCTTGTCCGTGTCTGCGATCGTTGTGAAGCCAATATAAAATAGTCTGGCTGCGGCCATCCAAAGTCCGTCCAACGTATGTTGCTGTAATTCGGCTAATGAATTGTCTTCAATGTTGACAGGGAAGGTATCTAACCCCGTGAAGGCAGCCAAATCATGTAGGTCCTGTCTAACTGGACTGTAATAGAGGCCTTCCTCTCATATTGACAAGTTGTTGTCACTTGTAACCCATTTCCTGACATGTGAACTATGGCCGACCTCTGCGCAGGGCTTTGTCTCTCATGGTCCAATCAAAATAAGGCATTTTGATTCCTTTGGTTTCCCGCGATGTGACGTCACCGGTGTAGCAGGAAAAAGGTCCTTGTAGAATCTAGTACCGCCATTGATATCTTATCACCACTCAGTCTTGTCCATAGCCTTCCGGAGTTGCACGAGTGACCACGTGTATCGAGGGTTGAATGGAAAACGCGCGAAATATTTCGCCGCGTTATACCGATGTAGGTAGGCTGTTTTCCAGGCGGCTGTGACTGGAACTTCAGTCCTGAAGATAATGCAGTCGCCCTTTTATACCGATGATCAGCTGAAATCTTCACGCCCTCAGTATTGCTAATGTAGACTGCATACAACGATCTCAAGGAAGCGTCGTAATTGTAGAGTCGATGCTGAGCTTTGTTGTAAATTCTACCCTGGGAGTCGTTGACGATTTTGTAGTTAGCTAGCCTTAGCAAGGCTGCTGCTGAACCACGCCCGTATGAATATCTGCAGATCTGTACTGAAGTGAAAATCTCTATATGGCCATGAGTCTTCTGATGGAGATATATCAATCCATGGGAATCCCGTCGTGTATTCAGTCTGAAAGTCTGCGCCGTTGATGAATTCGGACAAGAGTACCCCTCTTGAACTTCATTACATGTCCCTCAGACTGTGCGCCGACGAAGATCTTTCTCTTCTAGGCTGAAGCTAGGTCCAGTCCACCATAGTGTCCTGGTTGAACATCCTTGGAGATCTGCGTAGCGATCTGCATGGTGGTCTGCGTGGGGCATCTGTATGGCGCCCTGTGTGTAGGTGATCGACTTGTAGTCCAGGATTGCCTTCCTGGCAATGTATTCCCTAAGTGGAGATTCCCGTGAAGATCTGCGAGGAGTTGTTGATGCCCTTGAGGGAGGTAGTCGGCGTGAAGGTCATTTATTAGGCTCATTATCTGTTAACGGTCTCTGAAGATTGTGCCGATTGTGCCGCCTTGCACGTAGGTTGCTGACGGCATGTAGCGTTCTGTTGAGAAACTAAGTACTGCGATGTGTCTGCATTCTAGATGGCCTGCGCCGAATGCTCTCGCACAGGCTTGTTGACGGCATGTAGCGTGCAGTACTGATGTACTGCGACGTCTCTGCTGTGTAGATGGCCTGGCTCTTTTGACAGCCTATAGACCTGAGCACCGCTGAGATCGTAGATCGTCCTTCACTGGGGATCTGCGTGGAGACCTGCGTGAAGACCTGCATTAAGACCTTCGTGGAGACCTGCGCGGAGATCAGCGTGGAGAGAAGCCTGGTGAACTGTGTTTGTAAGGTGACCTGTGTGGCGGAAGTGAGCGTCTCTTGGTTTGCGAATGCCACAGTGAATCCCTCAACGATCTATGCGATGTCGAAGATGTTCTTCAAAACTGTGTCCGAAGTCCTTCGCGATTCATCTGATTCATCTGATTCGGCTTCTGGGGATAGACATGTCACCTTTCGTGAGTGCCTACGCGAATGCTGATCATCGGATTCGGCATCTGGGGATAGATGTGTCGTCCTTCGCGAGTGCCTTCGCGAATGCTGATCATCTGATTCGGCTTCTGTGGATAGACGTGTCGCCCTTCGTGAGTGCCTACGCGAATGCTGATCATCGGATTCGGCATCTGGGGATAGACGTGCATCGTCACATTGCTGGAGGGCCTCTCTGAAGCATCGTCTGCGTTGGAACCTTCGCGAAGGTCCGGGTCCTCCATCATCTCCATGATCTGCAGTGAGAACTGCTGCATGAAGTCCCCCGGGTTGAATGTCTGCGGTGAGAGATGAGCTGCCCTCTCTGCGATGGTAGCGATATGGTCCAGGGATCGCTCATCTGACGTCAGTGTAGATACCTCGGACTGCATAAACAACTGCGCTGATGGCACTGTTGCTGAGGCCCTCTTCTTGCCGCGATGTATCTCAGGGATGATGAGCAGCAGCTCGTCGTTGAGTCCTCTTTCCGTCATCGTAACAATCTCGGCCAAGAAAGTTCTTGTAGTCTGCGCAGACGTCCCCGTAGAGTTGGTCGTCATCTTAGGGGTGTGAAGCCTTCTCTGCTTAGAGGATGGCTTCTTCTTCTTAGTCTGCGATGACGGGATGTCCGGAGCTGCAACCCTCATCTTAGAGGTGGCGGACAACATCCCACGCACATTCCCCGCGGGAAGTCTCCGGCGCATCACTTGAAGGAAGAGGGTTGTCTGACATCAGTTGACCCTTGAGGGGCTTATCCAGGATTTGACAAAGCCGTCTTGACCTGTCTGCAGTACGTCTAAGTATGCAAAGAAGGTATTAATTAAATGCAAATATGGTTAATTGCTGACAATAATGCAGCGCAAGCTGGAAGTACATGGCATAGTGCCACTAGGGCACAGTTGATGCGGGTCAGCAGCAGAGAATCTAAATCTACAATGAAAACAGGATTTCATGAAACGTAAACAACTGAACAAACACGGACAAACCGTGAATAAACAGTGCAAAATACGAATAATTTCAACCCATATTGTTGTAAGAAACTAGCTAAACCTGTATAAAGGAAAAATAAAGTGTAATAACTAATTAATAAAAGGATATAGTGCCGTATAGGACACAGGCGCTCTCACATCCTGCTCACAGGGCGAAGAAGGAGAGAGTGAAGCGTGGGAGAACGGTGGCCGCCACGGTTTCCCGCCAAAATGGAAACAGACAACTCTGGTGGGTAGTGATTTTATGTCTGTTTTATTGAAGGGAACTTCAATAGGAGATACAGGTGGTCCACTAAGTTCGCAAGAGGAAAGAGACAAGCAATAAGCATGAGTCAGGATAAGGAAAAATATACAAATTTGCAAAGAAAACCCATCCGAACATCTATGAACTTGTACGTCTCATTCAGAAAGAACAGTCCGTTGCTGAGGTTAAGATCCAGCAGATCCAAGGACATGGTAGAGGACCTGTTAGGAAGAGGAAGTATCGGCAAACTGACATGAGAATCAGATCTATGACTTGATCGCCCAGAGACTGTGTGAGATGGACTACACAGATCACGTCTCGGAACGCCTTCACCTGGGATAGACATTGCAGACTATGTGGGTACCTAAATGCTTGTTCAGCTGTATCAATTCTAATTTTCAATGAGAGACTGATTTATACATTTTACATGTGTTGATCATGCTCGTTGTATGCTTTATATTTGTTTAAAACATTTCGCATATTCAGATTCCATTGAATGTTTAAACCAGTGCTAATCATTGTTGTGTTCACAGTTTGCCTATGAGATTTAGTCAGGGGGGGTGAAACCAGCCAAGCGCAACAGTAGTCCGCGATGCCCGCAGAGTCGACACTAATTTTCGGTGGTAAATCTTCATTTGTCGACTTCCCGGGCTTGAAACGCAAAGACAGTGAGGGTCTTGATCGGACATAAATTTCTGACATTGAACACATTTATTTTTCACCATAGCTGAAGAGAAGAACTGAGGGGAAAATGGCGGGAAAATGTTTACAAAATAGACAATAATTTGCAGCAAATATGATTGTCACAAGGATGAAATGTCGACACCACTAACTGACAAGAGATGGATCAGTGTTTTAGACTGTTGATAGAAGAAATTTTCACTTCAATCTTGTGTATTGACCATACAGAAAAATTGTATCAGTTAGGAGGGAGGCATACAACTAGGGATAGCTATGACTTAGGGTTAAAATTTCCATTTCATTTTCTGTATGTGTCTGTGGAAACCACAGAATTAAGGCCACCATAATCCAGAGGGAATGTTTACGCTATAATTGATTTCTTTCATCATTTCTCTGATAAATCAATACTGGGCTTTCGTATTGATGGATGTTGACAGATCCATCAAATTTGCCTCAGTTGAACTGGGTAAAAATGTATGCAAACGCCATAATGCTATTCATGACAAACAATTAAACACCCAGATGAAGATGATTAACTTCAGAGTACTTTGGATTCTATACACTCCAAAATGGCAGTAATTTGGAAATGAACATCATAAAAACAAAAAGGGACTGATGTCTCAAATAACTTTTTATTTTCACAAGTGATATGGCTTACATTTGACATAAAATGACAGCTGATATAACAGCAAGTTGACAGGTAATTAAAACTGCACTTAAACACAAACATGAAATGCACAATACAAGAAAATAAAACAAAACGAAAGTTTGGAAGCACTGCACACATCTATAAAATATACATAAAACACAATCCAAACTGTAACAATCTGAACAATGCTAATATATGGATAGATTCATCAAACTTGACTTAACTGAACTGGGTAAAACCAAATTTAAATATCATTATGCTCCTCATGACATGATGAAGACAGATGAAGACAAGTGTGACCAAGGTTATCCGTCATCACTCAGTTCAAAAATTAAGGATACTGTGACAGTTTAGAAGTTCTAACATATGAAGACTACAACTGTTGCACCCTTTTAACCTTTGAGTGGATCACTTTACCTAAACGCTTGAGCGTGATAATTACAAAGGTGGTTTAAGCAGGAGTGAATATTGTCTCAATGGAGTAACAATCTGTAGCATTCTGGTAAGATTACATTCAACAGACCAGGACACACATAACATAATCCACATGTTTCCATGTTGCAACCACGGATAAATAGGGTCGTATTTCACCCTGGAAATAAATATTATGGTAATGAATCATTGGCACAACTATACAGAAGCACAGCTTTCATCATGTGTGCCTATGAGAACATACTGACTTTGAATTGTTGTCCGTGAAGCTGAACAATTGAAATAAAATTCATATGTTAGTGCAACAACTACACCATCCCTTGCATAACAAAAGTATTCAAGAGACTGTTCAGTTTTCAACAGTCCCCAGTTGTTACTGCATAAATAAATTTGGATACAATAAACATTATCACAGGAGAGTTTGGGCACAATACAATCTTTCAGAAGACATATTGAAGATTGAAGATTCAAGGCCTCCGACCCAGTGTACATGTGTGTAAAGAATTCCCTATCAGAACACAACATACAGACATATTCTTTACATGGGGACAAAGAAAATACACTCATAACAGAGCCAATTCAGCTTTTCTGCGTGGCGTATGCCAAACCTCACAAGGGTGCCTGAGGATATAAACAATATCAAAACCAGTTGAGTCCAAACCACTCTAGCAGGCTGAGTTGTTGATATGTTTCATACCAAAAGACCCTTGGGTTAGATTATATTTATCATCCATAATCATTCTTACCCCGTTTTCCATGGCATGAAAGGCATAATTAACCAGCTTCAGTGGCTTGATTAGTGTCACATGCTTGTGATGTCGCAGTTTGTGAAACAGTAAAAATTCCATCAAGACTATCTGGAATGAACATGAAACCATGAAAAATGTATTTTCTCGTTGCAAATACTTAATGCAAAAATACTGAGATACATGTGTATGTATCCTTACACCAATAACCAGTTAACAATGGAATTTTTAAGCCTAAGGACTGGAAGAAAGACTAGACAAAACTGGTACAACAGAAGTTCCTGTAAACAACAAACAAGATAGTAATGACAGTATAGTGTTTCCATACTTAAAAAACAGCCCACCATGCATTCAAGATTTGCTCATTCCCACAAGTGAATTTAATTCAGAACAAGAAGCAGTCCATTGTAAAGTTTGCTTCTGCCCAACACATTGTTTTAACAATGTCAATGTTTCATTGGAAGTGGATAAATTCATGGAATCTTCACAAATGTACTTTATATCACTGGCCTCAAAACATTTGCCGCCTTAATTTGAAAGGAGATAGACCAAATGTATGACACAGTATGGCTTAGCTAGTTTTATGTAAATTCACCTTAAAATACAGGTCCGCTGTCATTCTGTGGTTTCTAACAGTAGATTCTTTGAAATGATATGACAGTTTAATGATATGAAAATTTAAATCTCATGAATAATAAATGTACAAGGTACAAAGATCAAATTGCACAAAATGCATGTGCTGTAAGAATATATGGCCGAGTTAAGCTGCATGGATGTTGGAGCAAACAGCAACCAACGTGGAGAAGTTCTGCAGACCAATTACATATTATGTCATTGCTTCTTAATTAGCAATTGCGCTAATATTTGCTGATAAAAATATACAAATTTATGCTCAGTTAAAATATGAGACATCAGAGATACAATTATTGCAATCAGTTAGCACAAATTTAAAGATTTATGCAGGTTCCTAATATGAAACGCATTCCACTGTGATCAGGTAAACTCAAGAAAATTTAACTAGTTTGTTTTGATCATAACCTCCATATGTTTGAAAATAACAGGATAATTTTGGATATTACTGTTCATTCTTCTATCCTGCATTAAAATACAAAATGTTAGTTCAATAGTTCCTCAGTTGAAATCACCCAACCTCCTTACAGCACCTTATGCAGAAATTAATCCAAAGAACTAAAGGTTTAATTCAAATAATGAATGAATCACTGCACATTTACCAAAGGGAGTTCTTAATTATTTCAAGGGAGGCGTGAACTATTATTGTTCTATTTGATGATCTCAGTTAATGCCGATTCTGGTCTGTACATGTAGGGGGACCTAATACTGACGCTACGATTCTGTTGTTAAATGTTAGTTGCCCCATTACTCGATGTCTGGGACGTCCCGGGACACTGCATCTCTTTCACAGCATGAGGCATGGATGAAGTGATCAGAATGTACAATATCTACACTGTTAATGGTGAAAACTGTCATTAATGCCATCAAGATAAACATCTTTCACTCGTATGTTGAAATATTAACTTTAACAATATCTGAACAAGTAACAGTATCACGGTATCACAAACATGGAAGATAGAATCACATGTATTCAACAACCACCAACATGTGGTGCTATGCATCAACAAGATATAGCATGATACTACTTGTGCAAGTTATCTATGTAGTAAATATATATCCTCTAACAGATAAACACACCACACTATCTTTGAATAATAATATTTGTTTCGTCAGGTAACATCTCTCTTTCTGTGTTCCATTTCTTGTCAATAAAGACCAATGCAATGAACAGACTGCTCAAAGGGGGATGAAACTAAACACTTTTGATAGAATCACAGGAATATCACCTGTGCACATTTGTTGACATTTCTACTGACCAACATAGGTCAATAAGGCATATTCTTAAGTACAGATACATGTTCTTATATTATGCAGAATATACAGCTCTAAATGTCACTTAAAAAAGAAAGTTTCCTGCAAATTGTATGTGTGTTATAAAATTCAATAATGTGAAGAAACACGGAGCTAAAACATGAATGTAATTTCTGACCATTTTCATGACTTATTAATGTTGACAGGGCATTCTTCACCTCAACAATTCTTCAAGATAACAATTAGTCATCCATTTCCAGACACATACTGATCTGAAACCATGCTACTCTCTAACCACAAAAACATATCTTTACAGAATATCAACTATCACATTCTGTTGAAGCAGAACATATCTTCCTACTGTTGTACAGGCAGATTGTCTTCTTTCTCAAAAGGCCAATCATTATCTTAGATTCAGTTACTGCACATGGCTGAGGTAGGTCCTTTCTCAAAAGAGATACAAATGCTAACTGCCTTTCTTCATGTCAGATTTGCCAACAATACATCCAGGTTGTTGAGTTAACTGGGGTCAGGCAAACTATATGACTGTACATCAATCCAGGATATACTGATAGCTAGGTCAGGGGACTAAATGACTGTACATCAATTCAGGATATACAGACAGCTGGGGGTCTGGGTACTATATGACTGTGTTCATCAATCCAGGATATACTGATAGCTAGGTCAGGGGACTAAATCACTGTACATCAATTCAGGATATACAGAGAGCTGGGGGTCTGGGTACTATATGACTGTATTCATCAATCCAGGATATACAGACAGCTAGGGATCTGGGATACTATATGACTGGGCTCATCAATCCAGGATATACTGATAGCTAGGTCAGGGGACTAAATCACTGTACATCAATTCAGGATATACAGACAGCTGGGGGTCTGGGTACTATATGACTGTATTCATCAATCCAGGATATACAGATAGCTGGGGATCTGCTGTACTATCTTACTGTGTTCATCAATTCAGAATATACAGATAGCTGGGGGTCTGGCTAAATATATGACTGTGTACATCAATCCAGGATATACAGATAGCTGGGGATCTGGGGGACTATATGACTGTGTTCATCAATTCAGAATATACAGATAGCTGGGGGTCTGGCTAAATATATGACTGTGTACATTAATCCAGGATATACAGACAGCTGGGGTTCAGGCAAAACTATATGACTACACATCCATTCAGGATATACAGATGGCTGGGGATCTGGGGTACTACATGACTGTGTTCATCAATCCAGGATATACAGTTAACTTTGCAACCAGTGATGATAATAGTTATCTATGAATAGAAACATATTATTTAAAAGATGACTCACTTTTAAATTGATATATGCCTGAAAGAGAATCTGTAAAAGCTATGATGCATTAATAATTTCATACAGATTCGAGTAAATTTGAAATCATTGGCATCAGTGGTTAAATTGAGCTCATGTTTAAAGTCCAAGGTTAAGCTTTATACCCATGTTGAGCAATCAACAAGTACATTAAGGCAACAACATTCACACTTCTGCATGTGCGCGAACATTAACATGTGCATGAGTGTAGTGGATGACCTCTCATGTAAATGTATTTATTCAATATGAATGTACTTGCAGCCAAGATTATTCAGTGTGTAGGAATCCAGAAGAAATAACCAACCACAGCTGATGTCTACTTTCGCTTGACTTAATGGACAATTATTCATTGCTTTCCTGTGTACACATCCAATACTGATGAGGCACATTGTATGAAAGCCTATTTCATTCACAATCTGAAGTTTTCAATGACTCCAAAGGAAAAACATATTTTCATTAGTAAATGAAAATGTTGTATTATATAAACTCATTGATGACTCAAGATATTTTGCCAAAGTTCTCCTGGGTCCCGATCTACAAAGCGTTCGTAGCGTTACAACCTGTCATAAATCTATAGTTTATCATAGGCTTGAGAATGTCGTAGCGCTACGAACTTTATGTGCATTGGGACCCTGCATGTTTCATTTTTTTGCATACTATGCTACAGAGTATTACGGTGTGTATTTCTGAATATGTGTCCCCAGTTGGTTTTTGTATACAGTTGTATGTATGACTGCAAGTATATATCATGTCATGTCCCAAGATTGGTAAGTATATGAATCCAATCTCATTCAAATCAGATAATTGTTCTCACCACCACTCAATAAAAAAGTGCATCCCACGAGGAGGTGATTGCAGTGTTGGCATCCAGATCTAAAATTGTCAGAATGTGTTTTCTATCCATGCATCATTAAAATTGTTAACTCTGTGGATTCTGAGGAATGGCTGCATTCATTCAAAATCATCATCCATCGACCGGATTTTTTTAATGTAAATTAAACACATAAAAAAATACTGACCCATCTATTCTGCAATGTCAAATGCATTTAGACATTAGAAGATTTGTTTGTTCAGAAGTCAAATTTTTAATCCATATTTTCAAAGCGTTTGGTCAAATATGTACGTGTTTAGTGGTAGCAAGAATTAACATAAGATTTTACTGAGATTGACACACTCTCGATATTGAAACAATTAAAAACATGTTGACCTAGGAGATGAAGAATGATAATTATATACAAGTTCTGTTATTTTGTGAAAGGCAACATTTCGATATATATTCTAATGTCGTTGTCAAGCAAGTGATCACAACAACATTAGAAGTTGAGGTGATGAAGAATGTTGGTAATTTTATGGATATACAACTTTATATTCTGTGAAAGGCGACATTTCGACATAGATTCAAATTTTGTCAGGCAAGTGATGACAACGACATTAGAATCTATGTTGAAACTTCGCCTTTCACAGAATAAAGAAGCTGTATATCCATAAAATTATCATCATTCTACATCAACTCAACTTCTCAACTGCCCATCAAAGAAGACCTATGAGATGTTCACAAGTGCTCTTCATATAAATTGTACATACACACACTGATCTTTTCACAACACTAGCATTACCTTCTTCTCTCACCTCAAGCCATATGACGATTTATATCCATCCACTCTCACAGGGTTATCTGTGCAATGTCTACTCAAACATGTTAACCCTGATCACACCAGACACTCTAACCTCGTGTCTCATTAGATAAGATTCTATTGATCACACAAATAGATTCTTCAACATTCTTTCAGTGTCTTGAGTGTAAAAAGTACAAGAAACCAGCCTGAGTGGCGGTGATGTCATTTGATTATGATGTCACAATGGTCTACAAAGCAGTTTGACACATTTCCATTGCAACTCCTCGGACACATTGTATGATCTCCTGTGGAAACCAGTTTGGGATGATAAATTAACCCTATCACAACCCTCTTATCTTTAAGCAGACATTTGTCTTGATCATTTTGAGTTGTGTTTAGCTGCTGACAGAGTTCTTCTTGCTTGGCAGGGAAGACTGATCAAAGGATAGAGCCCCCCTACAGATTGATCTCAGCTCCTCAACCAGTGTGTCATAGCTGTAGCGGTAGGCCACAAAATGAATGTTGCAAATACAGACTCGGATGTCATGTTATTCTGTTTTACCATCTGGACAAAGGTATCTCATTCAATAAGTTAAATGTCAAATCCTGGTGTTTTTGGAACGTCTAATTGCAATCCATTTCACGTTCCATTCTATGTTCCAGACACACCTTCTACGGGTGTAGTTAGGACACCAGCCAGTGCTGTTTCATACCTGAAGTTGAAATATAAAATTTGAGCATTTTTATACAAAATGAATGTAAGAGGAATGTAACTGTAACAGGACAACCTTATTGGTGCACTGACTATACTTGTGTTCCCAACAGAAAAAACAGTGATTGATAGCATGACTGACTGACTGACTGAGTTTGGTTTTACGCTGCTTTTAGCAATATTCCAGCAACATCATGGCGGGGGACTCCAGAAATGGGCTTCACACATTGTGCCCATGTGGGGATTCGAACCCGGGTCTTCGGCGTGACGAGCCAACGCTTTAACCATTAGGCTACCCCACCGCCCCGATTGATAGCATGAACAAACGTCAATGAAACATTCTGAAACTTGATCTTACCAGATGAGGGAATCCACTCTGAAGAACACTGTTGCGAGAGATTTCACACATGTCGCATGTACTCAGCTTCCACACTTGGGCTGCAATACTGTACTCCTCCATCAACGGTTCCTGCATACCAAACACAACAAGTGAAAGAGGGGCACACCTGCAACCTTAGGGGTTACTCCATTCAACATATAACTACAGAAAGAGGGGCACACACGCAGCCTTAGGGGTTACTCCATTCAACATATAACTACAGGAGGGGTACACTTGCATTCTTAGGGGTTACTCCATTCAAAATATAACTACAGAAAGAGGGGCACACTTGCAACCTTAGAGGTTACTCCATTCAACATATAACTACAGAAAGAGGGGCACACCTGCAACTTTAGGGGTTACTCCATTCAACATATAACTACAGAAAGAAGGGCACACCTGCAACCTTAGGGGTTACTCCATTCTAACATATAACTACAGAAAGAGGGGCACACTTGCAGCCTTAGGGGTTACTCCATTCAACATATAACTACTGAAAGAGGGGCACACCTGCAACCTTAGGGGTTACTCCATTCAACATATAACTACAGAAAGAGGGGCACACCTGCAACCTTAGGGGTTACTCCATTCAACATATAACTACAGAAAGAGGGGCACACTTGCAACCTTAGAGGTTACTCCATTCAACATATAACTACAGAAAGAGGGGCACACTTGCAACCTTAGAGGTTACTCCATTCAACATATAACTACTGAAAGAGGGGCACACCTGCAACCTTAGGGGTTACTCCATTCAACATATAACTACAGAAAGAGGGGCACACTTGCAACCTTAGAGGTTACTCCATTCAACATATAACTACAGAAAGAGGGGCACACCTGCAACTTTAGGGGTTACTCCATTCAACATATAACTACAGAAAGAGGGGCACACCTGCAACCTTAGGGGTTACTCCATTCAACATATAACTACAGAAAGAGGGGCACACTTGCAACCTTAGGGGTTACTCCATTCAACATATAACTACAGAAAGAGGGGCACACCTGCAACCTTAGGGGTTACCCCATACAACATATAACTACAGAAAGAGGGGCACACTTGCAGCCTGAGAGGTTCCTCATACAACACACAATTAGCCTCTTGAGAGACTACTTAAAGGAAACAGGATAATGATTCATTCTCAACATGAAAACTTCTAATACAATACAGGGCTGCTAAATGTCAAATATGACTCCAACATAACCGTAATAATGACTCCAACGTAGCTACTCGCCTCTTTCCGTGACCTAAAAGAAGACTCGTACCCCTATCGTACGCCACTATTGCCAAGAATCGTGGCAAACTAATCAAATCTTGCGTAGTAAAACTCATTTTGAAGCATGAAAATGGCGGCACCATTGCACTTTGAATCTTCGCTAACTATGCAAAGCTCAATTTAAATAAACATAAACTTTGAGCTAAAGGATCAGCAACTTTCAATACTGAAACATACTTAGAAAAAGGAATGACTGTATAGTTGTTTTGTCCACGGGATATAGCTATAGGATATTCTTGGAGTAGCAATGTTTGGAAATTCAGAGCTATCTTTCCTTGGTACTAGTACTAGACTATTTTCATCTCCATGCCCATTTGTGCTCAGACAGGGCCTAGTCATAAACATGGCCACGAAAGGGGTACAAGAAGCCATCCGGCTTGCCGGAATGACACGAGTAGTTACGAATGCAACATAACCCTGTCAGTGTGTATTAACATGGGCTTGATATTTGCCCTCCGTCTGCTATTTCTGCTAGCTACAGGCCTATGTAGCAGTTACATTTACCTCTGGCAGAAGTGTTACACTTTGTGCCAGAGCCTAACAATGATGACAGAATGAATCCTACTTGAGACTGACCTTAGTGAAATGGAACTGCAGAGGATCATCTGTTGATAGGGAGATATTGAGGCCTCGAGCAAAGTATTCTGGGAGTGGGTTGCGGTGGTAGTTGAGGAACAGAGAGTTGTTGCTGAGCGGGGACATGGCGATGCCAATCTGAGAAAGGTAGAACAAGTACTGCAGCACTGGCACCTGCAACAAAAGAGGTAGAGAGTGTGTCCTTTAATGCAGCACTCGGCAATATTCCAGCTGTATGATGGTGGTCTGAAAATAGGACACTGGCATCATGAGTTTTGATTGACTATATGCAATAAACAAGGTCACCAAGCCTGACCACACAAACCCTTCAGTCACCTCTAGCAAAACATATAGGCTGATGGGGACCGATATTCAATTCGCTAAAGGAGTCTGTCTCGGTGGATAACGAGAATGAACACGTTATTGTTCCATATTCATCATCATCATTATTTGACGCAGGATAAAGTGTCTGGTAAATCCCTGATGACCCACCTTCCTGAGAACCAGGCCATGTGCGATGCTCTCAGCAAACATGAAGCCAGCCAGAAGATGCGTCACATTGCCAGCCTCCCCACAGTGGGGGCGAAACTTGAAGGTGCTGAATCCTCGCCCGCTATAGATGGAAATAACATGTGATCATAACTGTAAAACCATAGTGGAATTAAAACATTTAATGGTTGAATTAATTAAAGTAGTTGCCTCTGCTATCAACAGTTGGAATTGTTATTTTTCATGAAATACTGACTCAAACTCAATGTTTGCAAGCAATTATTGGGACCCTTTCTGGCTGAAGGAAATCTAAAACTTGATAACTGACATAACGCAAAATTGTTTGCTCGAATGTTCAATTTTAATTTAATAGTTTCATATTCTTTTTAAAATGTTCATCCCAAAGCCTGAGGCAGATTACTTGTAAAAGTGTGGTCTTGTTGTTATCTGATGTACAGGTAGATTACCATGTATATCATGCTTCCTATCTGATGGGGTGTGGCTCACCTTCTGAGCACGTTGAGAATGGTGATATTGGCGTACGTATGGAGCAGGTAGTAGCTGTAGGGAGGGTTCTAACCTAGAAATTTGACTTAAAGACGGTCCAAGTTTGGTCAATATCTGCCTTCACTCACAATGCTAGTTCAGAAGGCAAGCAGGAATAGTTGTTGAAAACCATTTCCGCTGAGGTTTGTTTGATGCCTCACAATTTAAAAGTAACATACCCTCTTAGTCTGGTAAAATTCAGGCAGAACTTGGGTAAGTCTTGTTATTACCATATTGACTGACCGCCTCCGTGGTGTAGTGGTTACAGCGTCCGCCCAGAGAGCGGAAGGTCGCGGGTTCGATCCCCCGACCGCGTCATACCAAAAGACGTTACAATATGGTACTTGTTGGTGCCTGCCTGGCGTTCGGCATTAATGGGTACAACAAGGACTGGTCGGCTCGGAGTTAGTATAATGTGTCTGAGTGGGGTATTCATGATTCACTGCGACATGGTATCTCAGTGGGCTAGCTCTATAAAACCAGCTTCAGTCTGGGCTAGTACAAGCAGTCGCACATACACATACACACACGCATGCACTTTGTCATATGAGCGAAATATTCTCAAGCACGACGTAAAACCCAATTTCACCTCACCTCACCATGTTGACTAATCAGTAGATCTGCTCTTACATTGCCTATGACCAAAATCTTACTCAACTGATTTGTTCAAATTTAATGTAGAGTATCGGAGACAAAGTGCTTGCTAAATTATGATGCTGAGTTGATCTGAAGCACAGGTAAAGTATCAAAAATGAAGTGCTTGTAGAAGTGTATGGCTGAGGACTTCTGATGTACAGGTAGAGTATCAGAGACAAAGTGCTTGTAAAAGCAAGGGGCTGTTATCTGATGGGGTGTGGCTCACCTCCTGAACATGTTGAGCACGGTGATATTGGCATACATATAGAACAGGTAGAAGCTGTAGGGAGGGTTCTCTTCAGTCTTCCAGTCCTGTGGAAGGGGTGTGTCCTTGTCAAACACAATGTGCTCAGATTTGGATTCATCATCAACAGAATCGAAGCCTGTCACCTAAAGGAGAAAAATTCAAGCCTCAAAGCATTTGTAGATAGAAAATATATCTTATCCTGATGACTGATGAGATATGTGTTATTTTACACTGCAGTTTATATACTATATATACATGACCTGCAAATAGTTAGGACTGGATGTCAGGACAAAACACTGACTGACTGACTGAGTTTGGTTTTACGCCAATTTTAACAATATTCAAGTAACATCACGGCGGGGGACACCAGAAATGGGCTTCACACATTTTACCCATGTGGGGATTCGAACCCGGGTCTTCGGCGTGATGAGCCAATGCTTTAACCACTAGGCTACCCCACCGCCCCCGGACAAAACACTGGTTGATAAACAATTGTAACAGGATCCTGTAGGAAGACAGTCCTTCAGCCAGATCACACACTGTAACCCATCCTTCATTTAAATCCAGTGGATTAATTACAATTCCAATGTCATAAAGAGACTCATTTTCAACAAAATTCCATTCCAGTTCTTATGACACAAAGCCAACACAGCCATCAAATCCAATCATACCATAATGGTTTTTAGAAAAACTGAACTGGTGTCATTGCGTACCTCAACTGGGTACAACACAGCTGGGTCACAGGACTAGTGCCAATTTTTATCACTGAAACGTGTGAGCTAAGTAAGCAGCATGGTTGACACTTCAACAACAATGAGCAGGGTATTGGTCCAGGTACATTAATAGTATGGAGACATAACAAGCCACTGGATAAACAAGATGAACACGATATCATGGCTATTGGGGGCGTCGGGGTAGCCTAGTGGTTAAAGCGTTGGCTCGTCACGCCGAAGACCCGGGTTCGAATCCCCACATGGGTACAATGTGTGAAGCCCATTTCTGGTGTCCCCCACCGTGATGTTGCTGGAATATTGCTAAAAGCAGCGTAAAAAAACAAACTCAGTCAGTCATGGCTATTGCAGTATGCATCAGACTGGGATCAATTAAGCTGTGAAATCACTGAAGGTTCCACACAAGATGTTTAGATTGTTGTTTACAGGAGAATACAGCATGATTCCAGCTATGTGACAACAGCCTGTAAGTAATCAAGACTCAATCAGACAATCCAGGTATCGACATTGTAAGCAACGATCCATGTTATTGGTGTATGCAATCAATAATCACCCAGCCTGTCTATCCCTTCCATGTGGCTGCCTTTTAAGACAAGTACTGGCTGCTGGGGATGTATTCTGACTGGGAATCCCAACAGGGGCCGTCATGAAGAGGGCATTCCTTAACTTACATATTGCAGGAAGGCATGTAGTTCTGGGTGACTCTTTGGGTTGTTGGTTGCTTCAAAGAGAGGCAGGAACACATTTTCCAAGATCTCCTGAAAGTTCTTCACAAGCTTGTTGCTGTGATACACATCACTGAAACAATAACAAATGTGTCACTGTGTTACTAGAAACGAGACATTGCAATAACACATTTGAGAAAACAAACAGAAACACATGTGTTGTTGTATGACAAGAAACAACAGAGACACACTGTCTCAGTTCTGACCATCCTCGATAATCTCCAGGGTATACGTTCCGATAAATCTCCACTAGTACCCTGGATGTATCTACGGCTTGGCCCATAAATTGTATTACCTCCCTTTGCTGGCTCTTCCTCTTCACAGTAGCAAAATCAGATAATCCGTTACAACCGAGCTTGCCAATGTCAACAAAGATGGCGGATGAAGCAGCCAAGGTTTGATCACTCAGATTTAGGGAAAAACTCATACATACAAATTGACAGGTCTGAAACCTTTAAAAAATATATGCGAGAATTCATTCTACCTCTTTCAGAGTACCTCTGCAACAACTGTGTTGCCACGTTTAATCGGTTAGATAAAAGAACTGAAAGTGATAGAAGCCTTGTAATTGGTATGATCAACTTCCCAGCGTAGACCCCTGATTGGATAAAAAGCCAGCAAAGGGAGGTAATAAAAATATTGTGCCAACCTGTAGATGCATCCAGGGTACATTCGAGTGTTTTTGTGTGACAAGAAAACAACAATGGCACATACCAGCTCCTTACACCAAAGTGTGCAGGAGACAGGCTCAAGTCTACAATGAATACATACAGTTTATACATACAACACCTTCTCAAATACCATCACAGTCATAATCCAATAGTCAGGGAATTATTAAAAGACAACAATATCAGAGACATGTTTCACTTTGAATATTTAAATTAAGAAAGAGGATTTAAGTTTGACATACTAGAGTCTGGGAATCTGTACAAGCCATCGGACATTCTCCGAGTGAACACGATGCTCCACTGCCCACTTTGCTAACTTGTCCCACTCATCTCGACTCCGGCCATAGATAGACAGACGGTATTCCGCATTTTGATATTTGCTCTCCTCCAAGTCACTCATGACTTCCTGTGTATCAGAGTGGATCAAAGAAATCAATGTTATTCTCATAGTTCCTATATTTACGGTTTGACCATAAATTATGGAAAAGTTAAGCTATCAATACATATATACCATATTAGAGGCTTAAGGTGGACGTTTATTCAAGGGAGACAACTCCGTATTTGTAAAGTATGACCAGGGTCGTCTCGAGATAAATAATGTAGCAGGCATGGAAATTTCAGCTGTGAAAACAAGAAAAAGTTCAAAAAATAGTTCTGAATGATTCAGTCAAGGAACCAACAACACGATATCTACCTTTATCACATGGCCAAAGTATTTCCCATTGATATAGTTATCAGTCTTGATAAAAATCTCCCTCAACCGACTTTCTCCAATAGGATTGTACTTGGCATTGAACTTGTCAAATCTGTGAAATGTGTTTCTGTCCTGAAATATAGAAACGGTAAACATGAGTTAGTGTATGTCTGTTGTTTAATACCGCACTCAATAGCGTTAGAGGTACCTTACAAAAGTCTGTAAATGATAGTCCAGATCTTACTATTGAGTTATAATCATTGTCAGCAAGCATCCTAACTCTTGGGGCAGAGGAAACGCAATCAAACAAGTGCTTGTTCTCGATCACCAGATCCACTGGGTCGCCTTTGCAAACCAGCACAGGGTGCGTAGTATGATCTCTAACATAGACAAGGGGCACTTGTTGCATTGAGATGACCGTAACATTTTGTTACATTTATCATTCATACAAAATATCACACAAAACACTTTACAGTTAAGTTTGTCTAAAAAGTTACACTGAAAGTTTACCCTTGGTCCAGGTGATAACATGAGGTTCATTAGAGTATACTGTAATGGTATGAATAATTTAAGTGACCTGAAATCTAATGAAATCTTTACAATTCCTCTGATCCATGGACTGACTGACTGACTGACTGAGTTTAGCTTTACGCCGCTTTAGCAATATTCCAGCAATATCATGGCGGGGCACACCAGAAAAGGGCTTCGCACATTGTGCCCATGCTGATCCATGGAAAATTATCATCCTGCTAATTAGGTCCAAGAGCTCCTGGAGTATATACTTACAGCATGTACATCCAGCATGTCCACATTCAGATCATATGTTGTCAGATTGAGACTTTTGAACACCTACAACACAAGAGTTAATTGAACTCAAATCATGACATCTCAAAACAACAGCTCGGTTTTTCCACTGGCAGTAGTTCACAAAGTAATTTACAAGCTAGTTAAGACGAAGTCCAAATGTTAAATATTAAAGTCCCAAACAAATAGGGTAGTGATATTTGGATGGAACAAGCATTCCACATTTACACTATTAATATTGTCTAGGTTTTTGATGATATGACATTTCGAAAATTTGGCAGGATGGCAAGTGTAAATGGCAACAACCTTCATACTGCTGGGATGAGTTTGCCGCTAAATGTCTTAGATTAAAAATGCCGGCAATCTGTTAATATTCAATGTTCAGGTCTGGACCAATCAATTTTCTAATTCATATTACAGGGAATGTCCAACCCTTCCCTTCAGGGTATGACATGCAGTCAGGAATCCTGACGAACCTATCTCAGGGATGGCAACAGGAAAATTTATTTTCAGCAGAAAACTTAATACTGTGTCATTGAGTTGAGGGTTTCTCAATGGTTTTACACGATTCACAATTGAACAATTTGAAATAAAATCAGCAGAAATCCACGGATCAGCGGGAAATTGCCATCCCTGCTATCTCTTACAACCAGTATTATGGGCAACAGCATAACCCAGAATCCACATGGCCGCTTTATCAAACATACAGATGTCTCCTAGCTCGTTGTCTCACCTCTGCCAAGGTCAATGTTTTGCCATTCCTGTCTTTACACACAACCTCATCCTCGCTAGTCTTCATCTTCTTCTTGATGAACCTCAACAGATGTTTCTGGTTCATGCAGGAGGAGGCATGTACGTGAGTGTCCACCTGAAACACACATGAGCTTGTGAGTCGGTAGGCCTTGGTATGAGAAACACTGCCATATGAGGCATTTCTGCATAGTCCTAGTGTCCATATACAACAATGTAATTTTTCAATTAAAAATGTAATTTTTTGAGTAAAATTGATATTTTATACTTATCCTGACTCATGCTCTTTTGCATTAGCTAACAAACTCTACAGAGTTTTTGGCTATTATATACGTAGCTTAAGTTATTTATATCTTAAGCATAGTACTATACTCATATTGTAAAAATATATTAGCTAACAAACTCTACAGAGTTTTGCTATTATATATGTAGCTTAAGTTAATTATATCTTAAGTACAGTACTATACTCATATTGTAAAAATATATTAGCTAACAAACTCTACAGAGTTTTGCTATTATATATGTAGCTTAAGTTAATTATATCTTTAGCACAGTATTATACTCATATTATAAAAATATATTAGCTAACAAACTCTACAGAGTTCTGCTATTATATATGTAGCCAAAGCTTATTCATATCTTAAGCTCAGCATTATATCTATATCATATAAGTATTTAACTAACAAACTCTACAGAGTTTTGCTATTATATAATTAGCTTAAGTTTAATCATATCTTAAGCTTAGTACTATGTTTATATCTTAAAGTATTTTAGCTAACAAACTCTAAGGAGTTTATACTAGCATATTAACAAATTCAAGTCTATCAGTCTTAAGCATTGTATTAATGTTATATATACTTTATCATAATAAGGACATTGTAATAACCTTTATATGGCAGCTGATAAGTTAGCAGCAGGAATTCATCAGTTCAGTGCCTTTATGAAGTTCCCATAGGGTTATTACAATCATCACAGATCAAATCACTAATTATTAAAATCCAAAGTATTCTATTACTCCCACCTCCGTTCCGTAGGATTCTACAAGCAAAAGAGCATGAGTCAGGATAAGGAAAAATATGTAATTTTTAGAGTAAAATTGATATTTTATACTTATCCTGACTCATGAGGTCAGCCCTCCCATCCTCCCCACATAACACTTTGGATTTCCCTGTAAATTCAAATGTTGGGCTCAGTATATGAGGAGAGAGTGAGGCACATGGGTGAAGGTGGCGCCCTCGTTTCCCGAGCTTGTGGAAAGGGGGTAACTCGTGGTGAGTACTAATTAGTGATTTTACATTGAAGAGAACTTCAATTAGGGAGATACAAGTGTTTCCACTAAGTTCGCAAGAAGAAGAAGACAAGCCTAGTGTTTTCTGTGAGAGAAATTCAAAGTTTGTCAATTCCAAGGGTTCATAAGCCTCACTTGTGAGGTGTTGTAACACTATATTCAGATCCCAAGCTGGGGCGTGGAACTTCCGCTTTTGGTCCTCAAATCGGAAAGCACGTAGTAAGGCCTAAGAGCATGAGTCAGGATAAGGAAAAATATGTAATTTTTAGAATAAAATTGATATTTTATACTTATCCTGACTCATGCAAAAGAGCATGAGTCAGGATAAGGAAAAATTTGATATATTTATACTTATCCTGACTCATGATCTTTTGCTTATCTCCCTTTCCCTTTCGAATGGTAGTGGAACACTTGAATCCTTTGAAGTTTCTGAAGCGGATGTAAAAATACACTCACCCACAAGTTACCTCCCTTTTGCCCTTTCCCCGCGCAAACAGTCATGTGACCAGCCTTACTTGTCACTCTCTCCTGTTTTTCTGCCCATGCACTTGGGTCTGCTGTGAAATCCTAAGTGTTTCCAGTGGGGCGGTTGGGAGGGCTTGACCTCATGAGTCAGGATAAGTATAAAAATATCAATTTTACATGAAAAATTACATATTTTTACTTATCCTGACTCATGATCTATAGCCTATTATAGAATCCGTCAGATTGGTGGTGGGTCAGGCCACTTTTGTGGATTCATCAGCAGTCCTTAGATACCTGTATTTCCCCCACCCCCACGGGAACTGCAAAACGGCATTTCCTTGATTCTATTCTTCCAACTTCCGTTATAACTCGGGGGGACCACTCTCTTGCCTTACTTCAGTCTCAGACAAGTTGAATCATGTTGATTCATGTGGCTTCAGATAAACTAGTATCTTCTTATTACTAGATATCTTATAACAACCCACAGATTATGATAAGATCTTTATCATAAATGAGTTGCGACTTCTTCACGTACAGGTAAGATCTTTACCCGTACAGGATCTTTAATCACTCATGCTAGCCAGTCCTAGACTGTGTGCATGGACTTTCAAACTAATACTTTTCCTAAGTAAAAGTTATCAACAAGTCAACGTGATAAAGGGTGAGATTTTCCAACTCAGCGCCTTTGAGGAACCGTTAGTTGCTGTGCTACAACGAGAGGCCCAAATTGGTGAATGCCTGAGACGTCTTCAGTGGCTCTGCCTCGGAGGTGGTGGTTGGCAAACATCGTGTCCGACATCGAAAAGCAGCCCTCCATAATTGCTGGTATAGAGCAATTTCCTTGTAGTGCCAGTGTTGACCCCAGTGCTCTGACTTCGTGTGGGTTGGAAGCTCTAGGAGGTTCTAGTCCTGCTGCTTTATAGGCTCTCAATATGACGGCTCTCATCCAGAACGATATCATCGTTCTTGAGACTTCTGCTGATGTCTCTGTTGATAATGGGATGAACAGGCGTCTCCTTGTCTCAGTCTTTGAAGATATATCTTCAGGGCTCTGACCGGACACAAGGATAGGTCTTCTATATCCTCTGGGCCGAGGATTGTAGATAGAGCTGGTAGGTGGAACTGTCTATCTGGCTGACCAGGTAGTTGGTTCTTGGCAATGAAGTCCCATCTAAGTCCTAGATGGACTGCAGCATGTTGCCCCATGTCGAATCTGGTTCGACCAAAGTCCAGCGCATGTATCTCTGATATTCGAGCTGCCGTGGCTAGCGCAAGCAGGAACAGAGTCTTCTGTGTCAGCAACTCGAAGGTAGTCTGATCTAGAGGTTCGTAGGCATCACTCGTAAGATGACATAGACTTACATTCAGATCCCAGGCCGGAGCTCTGAACTTCTTTTGTTAGTCCTCCAGTTTAAAAGATCTCAGCAGAGCAAGTAATTCTGCTACTTTCGTCAACTTGATGCCTGTTTTCATGGTAATTACTGTACTGATGGCAGCGAGGTATGTAGATAATGTCGAACCTTTCAGATGTCTAGCCTGTCTCAGATGACACAGGTATTCCGCCACTTGGGGATGAGTAGCTTTCATTGCAATGAAGCCTTTCCGCCTTGCATAAGTCTAAAACTTCAGCCACTTGTCATCATACATGTTACGAGTAGATCTGCATAAAGCTGCGTTACTGCCTTGGCTGCCCTGGTGGAGTATCCTCTTTTCTTCAAACATGTTTTGATACAGTCCACATGTGTAGCTGGAACAGTGTTCGGTTCCCGTGGACTTGCTTGGTGTGCGGATGTATGAGTAGGTTCGGACAATCTGGCAACTTGATTGTTGGACTTCCGAGATCTTCTATTAGGTCTAGGAACCATACTTTCGCTGGCCAGTATGGCGCGACCAAGGTCAGTTGAAGCGCCTTTGTCTGTTTGATCTTCAACAGTACTTTCGGTAGTAATATCAGTGGTGGAAACGCATAAGCGTTTAGTCCTTCCCGTGATATGTCTCCTTCTTTGAAGGATTTCTGATGCGTTGACTTACTAGGTCACGTAGATTTACCCTCCGATCTGGTAACAGATGCTTTCTTCTGCGACATAGAAGAAGACAACGTCTTTTTCTTAGCTTGAGTCGGAGTCAACTGCGTTGTAGCCGATCTCTTCTTTGCCCCCGTACCAGCAGACTCCCCCAGATTGCAACTTACTCAACATAACACCAGTATTATGAATTTCAGCAGTAGCAAGCAACATACGGTTTGCAGGCTGATCTCCTGTTTTATCAGCCTTGACTTGAGATGACTTCCTAACCCGATCCATGGCACGTCTATAGATATAAGACAAATATTGATTAAATAGAAGATTAGATAAAGCAACACAATAAGTACAGCGCAAGCTGGAAGAACATGGTTTGATGTACGAAGGGTATTGGGGGTAGGATCAGCCACGGATAACCTGTGCCTGCACACACTGCAATATTTCATGAAATGTAAACAAGTTACATCACGATGAAATAATAACACAAATTCAAATCATTTTTATAACATTTTTACATATAATACAATGTAGTTATAGCCAAATCCATACACAGCGTAATTTTGAAGAATAGTACATAAATAACAAGAGTCATCAGAAGATGACATATCCCCCGGCCCCCACATCTTTGAAAGAACAAATCATCTGACAGTTACTTAAAGTCCAGCTTGATTTTAGACTAAGTGCAAATCGTTCGATGGAAATCATGAACAAAATAAATGACAAAAATCTGCAAATAGCAAAAGGCACCACTTTGGGATCTGCCTCACATATCTGCCAAGTTTTGCTGAAAAATATTAAGAAGTTTTCGAGTTGAGCTCCGGAAACAAAACCCACCCCTCCTTTTGGGACTAAGTCCGAATCGATTCCATGGAAAACGGGAAAAATAAAAATGCCAAAAATCTGCAAATAGCAAAAGGCACCACCTAGGTTCTGTTTGATATATCTACCAAGTCTTGTTGAAAAATATTGAACGGTTCTTGAGTTATGCTCCGGAAACGAAGCCCACCCTCTTTAAGACTAAGTCCAAAACGTTTCCATGGAAACCGAGAAAAATAAAAATGACAATAATCTGTAAATAGCAAAAGGCACCACCTTAGGTTATGTTTGACATATCTACCAATTTTTGTTGAAAAATATCGAACGAGCTTTGAGTTATGCTCCGGAAACAAAATGATTACGGACAGACGGACGAGGTGACGACTATATCCCCCCGCATTACATGCCGGGGGGATAAAAGGATATAATGCCGAATACGGGACTCTAGTGCTCGCCCAAGTGGATGGTTGGGCGAAAAGGGAGAGAGTGACAAGTAAGGCTGGTCACATGACTGTTTAAGCGTGAAAAGGGAGGTAACTCATGGGTGAGTGTATTTTTACATGAGTCAGGATAAGAAAAAATTAAGATGTTTTTCTTCTGTAAAATATGTTCCTTTCGTAGACTAGATGTTAGTCAACACCTTGCATTGTTCAAAATGAAGGTGATTTCCTTTGTCCCAGAGGTGTACTACATTAGTGCCTGAATTTACAGGGTAAAGTTTGATACAGTTCAGTCTTTCAGTGAAATAGAACACATATGGATGCCAACTTCGGACTATAAATCTTACTTCTCTTTACACACATCTTGTCAACAGTATCAGAATATGAGAAAATATGAAATAAATCTGTTAATTTACTAATAAACTTCTATTCTTGTGTAATAATTTGTCACTTTTGGATTTTCCATATATTTGCAGCAAAAATTAAGATGGGCAACTTTATTTTCTATTTTGTAACTTCAGCATTTTTTTCTAAATCTGACAATAAAATATAAAGCCAAATCATTGAAATATGATGTTCCTCCATAAATTTATTAAATAAGTCATTGGCAGAATAGCATGAACTAGGATAAACTCTATGAATAAAGTTTATGACTGACTGACTGAGTTTGGTTTTACGCCGCTTTTAGCAATATTCCAGCAACATCACGGCGGGGGACACCAGAAATGGGCTTCACACATTGTACCCATGTGGGGAATCGAACCCGGGCCTTATAAAGTTTATGAATCTCTTTGGCCATTGTCAGCAGATTTAGGCCTAAATGAGTCTCTGAGCCATTCCAGATAAATCAGAGTGTGATCTGACCTTTCTGATATTGTAGAAGTCTCTGTGGGGAACCTCCTTCTGTGAAGCGGACTCCTTCATTTCATTTAGCAGCCCATGCAGCTGGAACTTGTATGACAGGAACGAGAGACGTCGGTAACAGAAGGACTTCCTGGAACACAACATGCACAAACTCAAGTTAAAGGGTGACTTGGCTCAAGAGAATGGCATTCCCAGCAAATTAGTTACAAGTAATACAACACTACCTTTTCTGTTTGCAAATTCAAATTTTAGGATATTTATCATTCTAACCAGTCAAGGTTACTGAGATTACAGAGAGACAATGTCTCAGTTTCAGACAAGGAACAAATCAACACGCAGACGTAGAGTAATATCCCTCTACAACTGTACTCCTGCTACCTCTTTGTAAACCAGTCATTCCAACCAGTCAAGGTTACTGAGATTACAGAGAGACAATGTCTCAGTTTCAGACAAGGAACAAATCAACACGCAGACGTAGAGTAATATCCCTCTACAACTGTACTCCTGCTACCTCTTTGTAAACCAGTCATTCCAACCAGTCAAGGTTACTGAGATTACAGAGAGACAATGTCTCAGTTTCAGACAGGGAACAAATCAACACGAAGACGTAGAGTAATATCCCTCTACAACTGTACTCGTGCTACCTCTTTGTAAACCAGTCATTCCAACCAGTCAAGGTTACTGAGAGACAATGTCTCAGTTTCAGCAAGGAACAAATCAACACGAAGACGTAGAGTAATATCCCTCTACAACTGTACTCGTGCTACCTCTTTGTAAACCAGGGTCCAGCCATCCACAAAGTGTTCGTAGCGCTACGACCTATCTAAAGCTACATTTTATCATGGGCTTACAAATGGAGTAATGCTACAAACACCTTGCACATAGGGTCCCAGGATGTTTTACAGTAGCATTAGAATCAGGCTTTTCTTTGCAGTGTTTTTTTCCCAGGTGCGACAATTTCGTTTAAGACTCCTTTAAAAGTTGCAAACATCTGTTACGTAATCTATGGAAGAAATATTATTTTTCAGTTACAGTTCAGATTTAAATATATATGATATCATTTTGAGTATTCCTGGATCTGAACTTTTTGCAAAAAATGTGTGTCTATGTGTGTTGTTTAAGCTGCAATCAGTAATATTCCTGCGATAAGATGGTGTAAACATTCAAAATCTGGACCACACAATCCTGTGACTGATATTATGATCAACTATTCATGTTATTATATGACGGGTAGATTTCCGCCCTGCTGATTGGCCGACTTGGTCACATGACAGCTTTGATACTAAGCAATGTCAACCTCGCCACGTCGTAAGAGGTTGTTATAACAATCCAAGAACCTCCCGTGGCTAAAAATAGATTTGGGATATTCCAGCTGTGAACTCCTCACTGCATGTGTCACGCTAGATAAGGAAGCGATAGGCATCGCTTCGTCCCTGTGACTGTGTTGGTTTAGAGTTATGTCCCATCTGTATCAACATGGCTGCACCTCTGGGTCATGTGCAACGCCATCGGTGGTATGCTATGTGACAGAAGAACAGGTATTCAGTACTTTTGTCATATAACAAAACAATTATTGACTTCAGTTCGGTTGATCCAATGATTTATCGACCTTGGTCATGTGATATTCACCTCGGCTTCAATAATTGTATTTTGTCGGTTATGATGACAAGCCATGAGCAAAGTCACTGAGAGTGACAACCGGATCCAATCAGATGCCTTAAATACCAGCGAGGTCACCTAACCCAGATGACCCTTTACAGGGTTGCTGTGAAACAGCATCAGTACTTACAGAGGGCCGTCACTGATGAAGGCATACATGAGATTCTGGTCATCAAGGTAGGTGTCCAGGTCAGGGTACGGCCACTCAATGGGCTCATTCTTTTCCAAGGCCTCCTCATTTTGAAACACCTGCACAACACCGTTGACAAACTTGAAGGAACATCCCACGGACTCGTCCATCTCAATGCTGAATGGATCGCCATGTTTAAGTGGCGGGTGAATTGGATGATCTGTGACAGTGAGAATTAATGTCAACTATTTACACATGGTATCAGAAGTAGAAATACTCATGCACATTATGGTGGTACACTGCGATCAATATTATTGTCAATATCTGCACAATGACAAATACATGAATTATGATATATGTGGCCTTACGGTACATACAGGTTTATCTGAAATGCCACATGCATTAGATAAATGTGTTCAACAAAGCCAGGAAGAAGACAAGTCTTTTTAACTTTTTAATGATGAAAAACATGAGTAACAAGGCAACACGGTAAGCATGGAACCCTGCTCTTCTAAGACTGATTGAGTGAGTGATTCTTAACTCTGCTTTGAACATTGCCAGCTTCTTATGGGTGGAAAGCCTAAATTGATGCATGTCAACCACTTTGGGAAACCTACTAACACCAGCATTAGAAATACCTCCCTGCCCGACCGCTCAGGACAGGTTATTTTCAACACAGACTGCCAGATTCTCAAATTCACCTGCCCGACTGTCAGGTTAAAATTTAGACATGTATATTTATAAAGATATTCATCATATTTCAGGATCATAAATCATTATTAATTCACTCATAAAAGTAAATGATGAATTTCAATGGGATGATAAGCTAAATTAGATGTCAAACCTAAATTATTTGCGGGCAGGTAAGTTTTGGTAAGTTCTACATCTAACCAGCCCTGTGGTCTGGCTGACATTTTTGGGAGTTTCATACCCTGCTAACACAGGTACATATGGAGAAAGTGTCCAAAGACAGACATTGTCAACATTGGTAACATGAGACTGGAAAATACAATCCAGTGACCAAGATTGTGAGCATCAACCCATGTCTGCGGTTACGATGACATGACATCAACCAAGTGACAGATTCTGACCAGGCAGTCCGCTAAGTTGCCTCTTAAACCACAATAGGTTGTCTAGCAACAGTTAAAACTGATTCCCAACGGCGCTGAAATACTGGCATCGATAAGATTGGGACAGATAGAAATTCATATTTATTTCTGAAGTAGAGTCCTGAATGTCTTTTAATGTCCCCTGGTATGACTTGACGGGTTCAAACCACCAACCTTCATCCCTCCAAGCTTGATCACCGGTGTTTGAACAAGTAGAGACTTACTGGGGGCAGCCATAAATAATACAAGCCATAAGACAGCACCCTGTAGTACTACAAGCTATTTATCATTATGTCCCACCAGTTTGGAAGATTAAAAGCTGTATATCGCTATGGCCTGTAGTGGGGAAAGGTACAATCTGCATATCACAGTGCCCTATAGTTGGGTAACAGCACTATCTGTATGTCACAGTGGCCTGTAGTGGAGATGTACAATCTGTATATGATTGTGGCCTGTAGTGGGGAACAGTACAATCTGTATGTCACTGTGGCCTGTAGTGGCGAACAGTACAATCTGTATGTCACAGTGTCCTGTAGGGAACAGTACAATCTGTATGTCACTGTGGCCTGTAGTGGGGAAGAATACAATCTGTATGTCAGTGACCTATAGTGGAGAACAATACAATCTGTATGTCACGGTGACTAATAGTGGGGAACAATACAATCTGTATGTCACAGTGACCTATAGTGGAGAACAATACAATCTGTACATCACAGTGACTGATATTGGGGAACAATACAATCTGTACATCACAGTGACTTATAGTGGAGAACAATACAATCTGTATGTCACAGTGACTTATAGTGGGGAACAATACAATTTGTACATCACAGTGACTTATAGTGGAGAACAATACAATCTGTATGTCACAGTGACTTTTAGTGGGGAACAATACAATCTGTATGTCACAGTGACCTATAGTGGAGAACAATACAATCTGTATGTCACAGTGACCTATAGTGGAGAACAATACAATCTGTATGTCACAGTGACCTATAGTGGGGAACAATACAACCTGTATGTCACAGTGACCTATAGTGGGGAACAATAAATCTGTATGTCACAGTGGCCAGTAGTGGAGATGTAAAATCTGTATGTCACAGTACAATCTGTATGTCACTGTGGGCTGTAGTGGGAACAGTGGGCTGTAGTGTATGTAACTGTGGGCTGTAGTGGGAACAATACAATCTGTATGTCACTGTGGGCTGTAGTGGGAACAATACAATCTGTATGTCACTGTAGGCTGAAGTGGGAACAATACAATCTGTATGTCACTATGGGCTGTAGTGGGAATAATACAATCTGTATGTCACTGTGGGCTGTAGTGGGAACAATACAATCTGTATGTCACTGTGGGCTGTAGTGGGAATAATACAATCTGTATGTCACTGTGGGCTGTAGTGGGAACAATACAATCTGTATGTCACTGTGAGCTGTAGTAGGAACAATACAATCTGTATGTCACTGGGCTGTAGTGGGAACAATACAATCTGTATGTCACTGGGCTGTAGTGGGGAACAATACAATCTGTATGTCACTGTGGGCTGTTGTGGGAACAATACAATCTGTATGTCACTGTGGGCTGTAGTGGGAACAATACAATCTGTATGTCACTGTGGGCTGTAGTGGGAACAATACAATCTGTATGTCACTGGGCTGTAGTGGGAACAATACAATCTGTATGTCACTGTGGGCTGTAGTGGGAACAATACAATCTGTATGTCACTGTGGGCTGTAGTGGGAACAATACAATCTGTATGTCACTGTGGGCTATAGTGGGAACAATACAATCTGTATGTCACTGGGCTGTAGTGGGAACAATACAATCGTGTATGTCACTGTGGGCTGTAGTGGGAATAATACAATCTGTATGTCACTGGGCTGTAGTGGGAACAATACAATCTGTATGTCACTGTGGGCTGTAGTGGGAATAATACAATCTGTACGTCACAATGGTCTATAATGGGGAACAGTACAATCTGTATGTCACTGAAGCCTGTAGTGGCGACAGTACAATCTGTATGTCACAATGGCCTGTAGTGGGGAACAATACAATCTGTATGTCACAGTGGCCTGTAGGGAACAGTACAATCTGTATGTCACAGTGACCTATAGTGGAGAACAATACAATCTGTATGTCACAGTGGCCTGTAGGGAACAGTACAATCTGTATGTCACAGTGACCTATAGTGGAGAACAATACAATCTGTATGTCACAGTGGCCTGTAGGGAACAGTACAATCTGTATGTCACAGTGACCTATAGTGGAGAACAATACAATCTGTATGTCACAGTGACTTATAGCGGGGAACAAACAATCTGTATGTCACAGTGACCTGTAGTAGGGGACAGTAAACTCTGTATGTCAGTGGTGGTAGTGGGGAAAAGTACAATGTACCAGTATATGCCACTGTGGGCTGTAGTGTGAACAATACAATCTGTATGTCACTGTGGGCTGTAGTGGGAACAATACAATCTGTATGTCACTGTGGGCTGTTGTGGGAACAATACAATCTGTATGTCACTGGGCTGTAGTGGGAACAATACAATCATGTATGTCACTGTGGGCTGTAGTGGGAATAATACAATCTGTATGTCACTGGGCTGTAGTGGGAACAATACAATCTGTATGTCACTGTGGGCTGTAGTGGGAATAATACAATTTGTATGTCACTGTGGGCTGTAGTGGGAACAATACAATCTGTACGTCACAATGGTCTATAATGGGGAACAGTACAATCTGTATGTCACTGAAGCCTGTAGTGGCGACAGTACAATCTGTATGTCACAATGGCCTGTAGTGGGGAACAATACAATCTGTATGTCACAGTGGCCTGTAGGGAACAGTACAATCTGTATGTCACAGTGACCTATAGTGGAGAACAATACAATCTGTATGTCACAGTGGCCTGTAGGGAACAGTACAATCTGTATGTCACAGTGACCTATAGTGGAGAACAATACAATCTGTATGTCACAGTGGCCTGTAGGGAACAGTACAATCTGTATGTCACAGTGACCTATAGTGGAGAACAATACAATCTGTATGTCACGGTGACTTATAGCGGGGAACAATACAATCTGTATGTCACAGTGACCTGTAGTAGGGGACAGTAAACTCTGTATGTCAGTGGTGGTAGTGGGGAAAAGTACAATGTACCAGTATATGCCACTGTGGGCTGTAGTGTGAACAATACAATCTGTATGTCACTGTGGGCTGTAGTAGGGGACAGTAAACTCTGTATGTCAGTGGTGGTAGTGGGGAAAAGTACAATGTACCAGTATATGCCACTGTGGGCTGTAGTGGGAACAATACAATCTGTATGTCACTGTGGGCTGTAGTGGGAACAATACAATCTGTATGTCACTGTGGGCTGTTGTGGGAACAATACAATCTGTATGCCACTGTGGGCTGTAGTGTGAACAATACAATCTGTATGTCACTGTGGGCTGTAGTGGGAACAACACAATCTATATGTCACTGTGGGTTGTAGTGGGAACAATACAATCTGTATGTCACTGTGGGCTGTAGTGGGGAACAGTACAAGCCATAGGTCACCGTGGCCTGTAGTAGGCCAGTCAACCAGTATACATGCTCAACATCTGTCCAAAAAGAACTGATACAGCCAGGAGATTGATTATTCAGGGGAGATTACTAAACTGTTGTTTGTCAGCTGAACTAGCAGCTAAAGCACTGCGGACAGAGATTCAACAATGGAATACTTACACTTCTAAGACAAGCATGTACAGATATTAAGCACATAAATAAGACAGTATTTCCTGAATAATACCAATGATGGAATCTTCATGACTAACTATACAAGCTAAACGAAGTCAAATAATGCCAAGAATTCAAGCCTTTTAGCAATCATGAAAATAGAGACATTTGAGCGAACACTTACTCCTGATGTATATGTGCATTTCAGGGATTGGGAAAAGCAGGGGCCATGGGCCATTTTGCACATTAGAATAAAAAAAGGCCCATTAAAATTTTGCTATTGATTAAAAAGTTTACTATTGATACAAGGGCAGTGGCCCATTCTAAATTCAGAAAATGGCCCATTGTCAAAGTTCACTATCCCCATCCCTGGCATTTGTTACAGGAAATAGGAATGCTGCTAGAATTGAACATCCTATGGAGATGATGACAACCTATATGTTAAATAACTCAAGTAACACAATGTCTTTAACAGCTCGCAAATATACAGCATATAGCTGAATAGATTACTCCCTTTAGGCATATTAACTAGTGTGCAAAAAATGTGATATGTTAATTAATTAATTCAAACAGTTTAGATCAAACACTTCTAAGAAGTAAGAAAACGTATTAGTGGGTTTCGGCACACATGTTAAGGACACAAATCAAACCTGATAGCAGACCTTATTGTTCTAGGCTGTTGATCATCCTCTGTAAAACTCAAACTGCTCAGTGATGTCACTTCAGGATCATGTGTGATGCCAATTACTAACTATGCAGCATAATACTTGACATCCAGTCTATTAAATCGTGATAGAAGAGCATAGTGTTTGCCATATTAACTTACTACTGAACTGATAATTTTATGGATTACAAGCATTCTTCTTTGGCTGTACACAGTTAAAACTTTCTACACATCAAAGTTCTTTACAACTATTGGATACAGTTAATTCTGTGACTCAATACATACACCTATAAGTCAGATTATGTAAATCCATTTGTATTGATAAACAAAACAAAATATCATCTCTCCTGATTTATTCCAAAAGAAGAAACGACGCAAACATTCAAAGTTTTAGACAATGTTTGCTCAAAGCCTTTGTCTGGAGATAAGACACTGACCTGATTACATTTAAGAAAACCTGTATGTTAGTTATCTTGCAGAGGTAATATTTCTTAGTTGACAGCCATGAGAGAGTTTGTGTGTTACAGACGATGTTATTGGTCACTTGTACTGTGTACCAGCAGGAGGAAGCTGAGGCCGCAGGATGTCGAGGGGCATCTAATAATTTTTAAATTCCAACATGCATGCTCTTATGGGAAAACACAAGATTTTTCTGTTAGTTGCAAATGATGAAATTTTGACATGCATAAAATGCTAGCCAAAGATGTACATTATTTTTTAAAAATCATGACACATGATTTGTTTGTTTGGCAGTTGTTTAATTCTGCACATTCCACTTAAATGATGATGTTCTGTAAGGAATCGAATAGACTGGACAATCCAGTGATTCATACCATAAACAACAATGAATGTCATCTGGGTACAATGACTTTTTATCTACCAAGTCAACAATATTTAACTACTGATATTACCTGATTCCCACTTACAACTACTATGATCTACCCTTGCAACTGTCACAGGTTGGCAGGACCTGGGACCCGTCCCACAAAGTGGTTGTAGTGCTACGACTGTTGAAGGGCAGGAGCTGTGATCATCTTAGAGATTGATTGATTTGATTGAGTTAATTTTACGCGGTACTCAGCAATATTCCAACTATATGGTGGAGATCTGTAAATAATCAAGTCTGGGATACGATGACGTGTCAACCAAGTCAGCGAGCCTGACCACCCGATCCCGTTAGTCGCCTCTTATGACAAGCAGGGGTTACTGAAGATCTATTCTAACCCAGGTCTTCACGGGTCATCACCTTAGAGCTTAGATGATCACTTTGAGACACAGGGGCGGTATTCATAAAGCTTCTAAGAATTTTCTTAAGAGTTAAGAATTCTTAAATCCACTAAGATTTCTTAGTTTCCATAACAACGTTCTTAACTTGTAAGAAAAAACTTAGACAAGTAATTTTGTTCTTAGTTTTGTTCTTAACTTTAAGAAACCTCATGAGGACACCTAACTAGTTAAGAAAATTCTTAGTTATCCAATATGGCGGCTCACGGAAACGCAAACTTTCACACTAGGAAGAATGTTTTTGATATGTACACCGACAGAGAGTTATTACGACGTTATCGTCTTGACAGAGGAGGGATAGAGTTTGTGACAGGCTTGATATCGGATGAAATCGATGCACTTACCTTTAGAAACCGGTCCTTACCAGCCCTATACAAAGTGCTTGTAACATTGAGGTTTTTGGCTACAGGCTTTATGATTTCTTCTCAGAAAATTCTAAGTTGTAAGAACATTTTTAGCTAAGATTTTTTCTTAGTTTGGGTTAAGAAAGAAACTAAGAAGTTTTCTTAAACTTAAGAATTCTTAAGGAAACTTAAGTAAAAAACTAAGAAAATTCTTAGAAGCTTTATGAATACCGCCCCAGGTCCCCGTTATTACCCTGAATTGCTATGGGGAGTAGGTTCATGAAGTAGATTCAAGTTATCCATACCTTCACTCTGTGATATGGTATACATAGCCAATTTCATTAATTGCACACCTACAAACACATATCTACTATCGCTGAAAACAATATCTAACCTGACTGAAGTAGTTTTCATATGTGTTTCTTATTTAATGCAGCATTCAACAATATTCAAGGTATATGATGGCAACAAATCAAATCTGGACCACAATATCAAGTGATTGACTTCATGAACATTGATTTATTCCATTGGAGTATGATGACATGCATCAGCCAAGCCTGACAACTCAACGCTTTAGTTGCCTCTTAGTCAAGCTATGGTTGCTTGAGGCATGTTCACCCTGATCTTCTCAAGTCCACAAGAGTGTGTAATAGCATTACTGCATTAGTATTTACAACTTCTTCCAAATTAGTCTTAATTTACTTGAAATGTTTTGCTCACAACTTTTGAGCATCCTTGTGCTCAGTAACAGTTATATTAAGCACAATCTTATCACTGCGAAAAGAAACAACACATATCTGTAGAAAATTCTGTACCAAGCTCACATATATGTTACATTGATCAGATTTACAATGGGTGCTCTGGGACTGCCCGGAGTGCTCTTGAACCTGGTGTTGACTTAAATACTTATATCCCTGGTACTGTCAGAACAAGATTGAGGTCACCTACATTTCACCTGTTTGAAGAAATCTGATATACCCTGACTTACTTTGGCATGTAAATACTCTCATTGTAAGTATTCTCCTGACATTGTTATTGTAAGATGAAGTTCGCACAGTATCTGTGCATTACATCCTCTTACCATAGTCACTGAGAATAAGAACACCTTTATAGAATATTACAAATACCTAGCCATAGAATAACCTGGTTAATACCTAGCTATAGAATAACCCTGTTATGGTCATAAGCTTGATCTAACAAAATGCACATGTATGATACACTATCTTCAGTTGATTTTAGTATATTTGTTGAAAAACAGGGGGAATTTTTTTTTTTAAAAAGCTGAAAGTTTGATTCAACAAAGAAAACAATTATTTATAATGAAGGAGAATATTTAGACAATAATCAGCTCGTGTTGGGTAATGACAGATTATCTTCCCCTTGTTATATTAATTAAGTAATTCTCTTGCAAACTTGTTCATTAATAAATTCACACACAGTTTGATCTTATTTTTCAATCTGTACCAAAGTGCCTTTGAGTTTGTTCAAAATATCTCATTTGGGACACACCTCTCATTCTAAATTCTTGTTGTTTCTCATTAATAAGTTGGGAATTTGGTATTTGAATAAAAAGAGCGTTTTAAGGTTCCTCTCACAAACTTACCTTGGATTTAACAGATATGTGAAGAGGTACTGCTGGCATGGAACAACTGTCAAACTCAATATCATACATAACAGCAAGTTAAAAATACAGTCTTAAGAACTTGCATGCATCTCATTTGACAAATGAAAACAGAAAATCATGCCAGGAAAGTTAAACAAATATTGACTTGGACACAATATTGTCATATATTTGAATCACGAAAATATGTTTTTTTTAAAAAGTGCCCCAAACTGACATTCCTGCAGCAAGCAGCCTTAGCAAGCTAGCGCTATATCTACCGAAATATATGTTACACAATCATGTGACCTTACAGCCTGTCAAACTGCCGTTCAGAGGTCATTTGCATGCCTGGATTGGAGGCTGCTTTACCTTTGATAGAAACTGGGCCAAACTCTGAAGGCAAACAAAGCATATGGTTACTACTACATGAAACATTCCAGCTCCACTACACACAAGTACAGCATGTAGCTAAACACTCTACATTAAACCCGTCAACACACGCAGGGTCCTCATCTCAATTACGGTTGATGAGTTTCGTTGATGAAACCTGTATTTAAGTTATTTGATTTGATGTCAGCATACACCTTTCAATTTGTACTACTTTTATGCTTTTCGTACTGTCTATCAGATAATCTGATTGTAGAACTACTCCACCCGTGACAGTTTCTATGCTTACTATTCATGTGTAACCAAACCTTTTACTTCCCACATAATGTACAAATTTCCTCATTTTTCTTTCCTGAATCAAAATCGATAGCATAACTATATCATGGTGACCTGTAAAACTGGTGTGTACAACAGACATAAGCAGATGGCCTTATTCAGTATTAATTATGGGTTGAATCTTAGAAACATATACACCAGTCTTCAACTGTATCAAGTTTATATCCTGCTGTGGATCTAATAACCAAGCAGTTTTTACTACTACACATGTATAAATCTGACATGAGGAGAGCAGTATTTGAAGGCCATAAATCAGTGTCATAAATCTTTAGATTGTTGCCTGTTGACTGCTGCTCAAGTTTTTGATTACATGAGAATAGAAATTTACAATCACATGTGCGAAATGAATCACATGTACCAGGTGATCCACATGGACCAGGTGAACCACTTGGACCTGGTGAACCACATGGGCCAGGTGATCCACATGGACCAGGTGATCCACATGGACCAGGTGATCCACATGCACCAGGTGATCCACATGCACCAGGTGATCCACATTTACCAGATGATCCACATGGATCAGGTGAATTACATGGACCAGGTGAACCACATGCACCAGGTGATCCACATGGACCAGGTGATCCACATGGACCAGGTGAACCACATGCACCAGGTGAACCATATGTACCAGGTGATCCACATGGACCAGGTGATCCACATGAACCTGGTGATCCACATGGACCAGGTGAACCATATGTACCAGGTGATCCACATGGACCAGGTGATCCACATGGACCAGGTGAACCACATGCACCAGGTGAACCATATGTACCAGGTGATCCACATGGACCAGGTGATCCACATGGACCAGGTGAACCACATGTACCAGGTGATCCACATGCACCAGGTGAACCACATGCACCAGGTGAACCATATGTACCAGGTGAACCACATGAACCTGGTGATCCACATGGACCAGGTGAACCATATGTACCAGGTGATCCACATGGACCAGGTGATCCACATGGACCAGGTGAACCATATGTACCAGGTGATCCACATGGACCAGGTGATCCACATGGACCAGGTGAACCATATGCACCAGGTGAACCATATGTACCAGGTGATCCACATGGACCAGGTGATCCACATGGACCAGGTGAACCATATGTACCAGGTGAACCACATGAACCTGGTGATCCACATGGACCAGGTGAACCATATGTACCAGGTGATCCACACCAGGTGGACCATGGTGATCCACATGGACCAGGTGATCCACATGCACCAGGTGAACCATATGTACCAGGTGATCCACATGGACCAGGTGATCCACATGGACCAGGTGAACCATATGTACCAGGTGAACCACATGGACCTGGTGATCCACATGGACCAGGTGAACCATATGTACCAGGTGATCCACATGGACCAGGTGATCCACATGGACCAGGTGAACCACATGTACCAGGTGAACCACATGAACCTGGTGATCCACATGGACCAGGTGAACCATATGTACCAGGTGATCCACATGCACCAGGTGAACCACATGCACCAGGTGAACCACATGCACCAGGTGATCCACATGGACCAGGTGAACCAGATGTCATGATGTATCAATTGGTCCACACATACTAGGTGAATCACATGTACCAATTGGTCCACACATACTAGGTGAATCACATGTACACCAGGAGACCACACGGATCAGGTTAATTACATGTACCAGGTGAATCACATGTACCAATTAATCCACATATACCAGGTGAATTACATGTATCAGGTGAATCACATGTACCAATTAATCCATATATACCAGGTGAATTACATGTATCAGGTGAATCACATGTACCAATTGATAAACATATACCAGTTGAATCACATGTACCAATTGATCCACACATACCAGGTGACTTCTGTGTAACAGGGGAATCACATGTACCAGGTGAATCAACTAAATGTACTTGCTGTAGTGAGCCCTCCTAAGCAAAACACTGTAGCTCTTGCAATATGGAATTCTTGGGATGCAACTTGTGTATTTTAACACCAGACATATGCATGTACAAATGCCCTTGTTCACTATAGTTCACCTGAAGGAGTAAGAACATACTCTGAAACAGTGTGTTCATCATGCTACAGAAAAACTGACACCCATAAATCTCTCCCTTTATATGTATCAATTCTAAATTCTATTCGAAAACTGTAGTTTTCAACAATACAGGTCCATGAGGATACCCAGGGTTTCAGAAAGATATCGCTGAATGTATTTTGGCTATTTTACAGTTTGTGCAAAAACCAATGAAACTGTGAGTCCAAAAATATGCAAAATAAGGCTAAAAGACCCTTAGAACCTCATTGGTGCTGTCATTTCACAGAACATGCACTGAATGCACTATCAGCCACCACCTTGTGTGTGAACCAGTCTGAGACTTCAGCCACCGAACCAAGGCCCGGGGCTAGTGACTTCTTTCTGGTCAAGTAACATCATCTTATGCTTGTCCATATGCTGGGACTAAAATCTACTGACCATATATAGACAAAATACAGGTTTTGGGTGTAAGATGTTTTTTGGTATAGACTGATGAGTAGGTTAAAGTGTAGTGTACAGAATTTGCCAATATATCACCATTGAGTACTGTCATATCGATCATACTGTGATTCTTGTGTATTGGATCAGATATACCTCTTGATAAACACAAGGTACATTTCTGTGATCATTTAGTCTACTAGCCTGAACTTGTACCCCTGGCATTATCTTTAGTTCTGTCATAAAAGCTGGTTTATTGCTTAGTTTCAGCTGAATAAACTCAATCAAAATTTGTTTCATTAATCTCGAGCTTCCAACTGAAGGCTAAAGTCACTGACTGATATGGGGGGGGGCACCATGGTACGAGTGTACCTGGATAGTGTGGATCAATAAAGTGCCCATGGTGGCCTACCATTATATTAACCATGGAATGAAAAGAATGACTGACATTATTCAAACCCAGACATTCTTAAATTAAATTCAATTTAGCCATTTGGTGCAAACGTAACTTACGGCAGTTAATTTGGGACACAATTATTTATGTGGATGTAGATGAAAGTGCACTAATTACTTACAGCACAACCCACAACAACTACAGAGAGAGCCTTATCCATACATTCAATACCATATTGGCTTTGTCCACTGATTCGAAGTGAATCCTTTTAGTGAGCAATCTGTTCGTCAGTAATGAGCAGCAAGCAGCCATTATGCTTTGTGGAATCAATGGCCTGGACAGCCATAACAATCTTGGCATTGATGTGCTTCTTCCTCAGAGCATCATTAAGACCTACTCTACCTATCTAGAAATCCTATATATCCTTGGTACATCATCAGGTGTACAACTCCACAGATATCAATAAATCCACCACTTAGATCAACAGCGAAACGGGGGAATATGGGGCATTGGGGAAATAATGCTGATCTGCCTTTCAAGGGAAAGATGAACTCAGTCTTATCAGCAGAGCAACACTTGTTGGGGAATCAGTATTCGGGGTCTTCAGTGAACAAATATTATTGAGTCGGACACAGCTGGTTTTTCTGCAAAACGATGACCAAAAATTTGGATCATGTCTTATTACAGTCTCTATGTAATTCAGTGTTTAATTAATCAGAATCGGTGAGGCTTTGGCCAACGACCATGTGGCTAAATCTTGAATAAGGGATTTGCACATTGTACCAGGGAAGACAATTTAACCTCAGACCTTGTTCAAGTTTGGACTATCATATTTCTATCTTAGTTCCAACACCAAGATTTCTTCTCTTAAGTCTATTATTATTCTTTATCTTTTTCAATCTATTATTGTTTGTATGTCCATGTCAGTAACTTGACCCCTACTATCATAAACCTTCCAAGGATAAACTCATTGGCTTCAGATTAAGTTCATTATAGAATAGCAGCATATCCTGCAATTTGTGCTTTTGTAATAATTTGTATGCAATTAGTTTATAATACATGGGCTGTAATCATGATAGATTACAAGGCTTTGGGTCCAACCTAGGTTTGTGCGTGCCAGGTGACAACACTACCAGCCAACCTACACCATGCTGAGGATGTAGATACACATTGCCTTGACACACCAGGAAGTTAACACCAGGGAATACATGAAGGATACTTTAATCAGATATACCCTGGGGAAAAATCCATGCATTACAACACACTTTGGCTGCACACCATCTTGTACTGCAGAAATATTTCTAATGGTGTAGTGCAATAGAGGTTTAGTTTTCCGTGAGATAACTTGAACCTGTATTCTCAGTACAGACCTTGCTTGAATTAAGGATATATAAACATACATATACGTCTTCCATAACGTTTAATAATTCATCTTTCAATATAATTTATTGATAAATACAACATAATATACGTTCACATGTACTTGAAAAAAAAAACACCTTAAAACATTCTCTTGCTCACAAAATAATCAAAACATCTAGACAAAGAAAGTCTTTTACGAACATTTGAATTCTAAAGATCGTAAAATAAAATGTGGAGAATGTGAGCATGTTATCTTTCATAAACACAATTTACCCAATACTACCAATACTACCAATGAGCCTTCAGATTTTAAAATACTTTTTCATCATAAGTAAACAATTACAGTGCTTGAAATTGTGTATTAACTCATTAAAAGTAAAAGTTGTTAATGAGAGTATCCACGGCACCGATAGCACCAGATCAACCAAGTCTCGAGCACATGTGCAAGTCACATGGTCAGGATTGACAAAATGGGAAAGAAAATTCAAAAAGGAAGTAAACGAAATAGCAAACAAACTCAGCACACACACGTGACCGTGTATACCTTGCGTTTCATAATACATAATGCCAGACATGTCTTCGTCAACTGAGGAAACAAAAGAGGAAATTAGCAGCTTACACGTTAAGGACTCTACATCAACAAGGTAGCCATTTGTTTGTTTAACACTAGTTCATTTCAGCCTCACAAATCGTTTGTGTTTCAGAAAATTATCCGAATATGTAACCTTCATCTAGTATTTCAATTCAGTAAGGGACAATCACTGAGAAAATTGTTTCACCAAAATGATTCTTAAAGAAAACCATTAGCTATTTTTCGTGAAGTTTTCTTCATATATATATAACAATACGTACGTTATGGCATGGACAAAAAGAAAGTTTGCTAAAAGCAGCAGTAATAATTTTGAAAATGTCTGTTTGCTAGTCTTTGGTGTGAGCATGCTTAAAACAAATGACTTGATGCTGATGGAGGTCCTTTGCAACAGATGCAGACCACCCGGCCTTTCATACACTGAATATAGTACTCACTTAGTTCCAACACCTATCTCCTTATTAACACTGTAGGAATTTCATGATTAATCCTCAAAAATAACAGTGCATAATAAGTTCTTATTTGTACATAATATCAATATCAAATTTTACTCCGTTATATCAAAGTTATATATAATAAAATGATGAAAGATTTAACTGATCTTCAAAGAAATGGAATGTACATGTTTTGCATAAAATTGATGGTCATTATGATTATTATTGGGACATAAATCAAAGCATGTTCATGATTGGATTTTAAAAACAAACTGCATTTTCTTGTTTGGTAACATGTACTGTTGCCATGCATACTAATCATCAAACAGCAGTGACAAGTACAAAGCCTGGCATTGCAGCAGATTATTATTGTTTACAACATAAACAATCAGTGATTGATCAACATTGTCATGCAATCAGTGTTTAATAATGTCAAACTACTGGCCTATTATTGCATATATAGAACTGCTGTGCAACTACAGAATGTATTTAATATTTATGTGAATACATTCCAAATTAACGCCATGACAGTTTAACATCACGTAATCCTGTGAAACATTGATGAAAGGCTCGGCTGCGTAAGTAGGTTGAAAAACAAAATATAACAATAACAGTGAAATTCTTCAGACTAAAACAAGTAAAAGAACATCAAGAATAAAGAGTGACACAAAAAAATCTTCAACATAGTTACCTTCAATGCTTTTCTTGTCACCAACGGAATAAGAGTTCTTGACTTTGCTAAATTCCTCACGATCCGCCAAGCTCTTGAGAAATCGGGCAGTAACACGAGGAAAGTGTTGATGTGACAGGGCCATGTATTTCTCTCGGATCATTAGAGCCTTCACAAGACTCTTTGAGGCCAGTTCCAGATCTTTCAGGGGTACCTGTAAAACAGCAATGGGGTCGTCTACCTTTCCGTACAGTGACTCACTACATGATTCTGTAAGATTGTGGAACTCAAATATTGGCACTTGCCAAGTGAAAGCAACTTTGTTTAAAGAATTACGGTACACACACAAATATGAAGGATGATCAACAATGACAATAATTCTTAAAATACTACCTCGAACACTTGATTGCCTTTTTCCTGACACTTGTTTCTGATCTACAGGTTGAAATTCAGTATGTCACTTCTGCTAACGGGGAACTTAAATCTTTGAAGGGCATTTAGAAGTGGAATACATAAGAAAAGCAAGATTTATTGATGTCAACTTCTTTATTGTGAATAACACGACATTTCTGAGTGTATGCTTGCTCCTTAATCAGGTTACTTTGATGACATCACTGATGATGTCACTTTGGATGCATAGTACATCATGACCGCCGCCATACAGCTGGAATATTGCTGAGTGCCGCGTAAAACTAAACTCACTCACTCACTATAACATCATGATTGTAATGGACCCTCACATCCAGTGCATGTAGCTCTGACACCCTTGAGGCTGTAGCCTGGGGCATGAGGAATACAGTCTTCCGAGTGAGATGAGATGAGTGTTGCTTTGGCCATGGGTTCGAACATGCACAAGCACCAATGAAACCACTGACAAATCCCATATCATAGTAATTTGCTGTTTTGGGATATTCTCCAATTCCTAATAGAACGCTGGTAAGTATGGTATTTCCCAATATGTATTCCTTGTTTACTGCAAATGTCTTCAACAGTTCCATGCAGAAGATGTAAGTTGTTTCTAAGATGTATTAGAAATTACGTAATCATATGTATAGTCCATTGGCAGTTACTGATCTGATTCTCAGAATTAGGAACCAGCAGTCTAGTTTAACTAAGGACATCAGCCTCCATAGTTATCCATAGATATTATGAACAACTATCCACGCTGTCAGGTCACAGTGACACACCATTAATCAACCAGTGTACTCACCCCACTGAAATCCTCCCCACTTATGCTGATCTTCTGGAATGATGGGACCAAGTCAATCTCCTCGTCTAGCTCCGCCTTCACCTCCTGGGGCGTAACATCTTCATCAAGAAGGGATGGTCGACTACGCTCCACCGGTGATGTCAGTGTCTGTGAAGAAGTGCTGGAAAAAGAGAAATACACTGTATTTTCACATCCACAAACATTTAACATCTCAGTGATTCTGTGGAAGGCAAATGTCATTTAAATCACAACACAATCACAAAACGTAACATGAGTAATCTATAGTTTACTTCATAGGCTATACTTGCCTCTCATGAAAAAAGAGGATTGTCAAAAAACTTTTTACCTTCTTCAGGGCTCGATTTAGTGCTTTGTTACTTGCACTGGTGCAACCCAGTATTACAAAGTGCAACCTAGTTATGAGTCTAACTTGCACAAGGTGCAAGTCAGTTTTTGAGAAATAAATCAATGATGAATCTAACATTATAAGCATAAATATGTCAGTTCATTTTTCTTCTAAACTTTGAACAGCTATGGCACTGAAACATTGCTATCATAGACACGTCTCGGCTATGACAGCTCTTGAAAACAGATATCAGCTGTGTCTCTGTGTTGCTATGGTTTCATGGGTACTACATCACGGAAATATTTTTATGTGCACCCGAAACTTCTGACGTTTTAAACACACTATGTTGCAACTGGAATTTGGCTGGTGCAACTAGGTCTTTATCGTAGGTTGCACCTGGTGCAAGTAGGTTAACTTATCTGAAATCGAGCACTGTTCTTAGTATGACCTATCCATGAGTTGAAATCAATAGCAATCTTCTATTCCTCCAAACTATTCCATGTAAGGGAAATTCAAATTAAAATTCCATCATTTTTCCAAGGTTCCATAACCCATTTGAACCCTCCTTTGCAAACGTTAAACACGCAAACGCTACACCACACATTAAATACCACAGTAAACTACACTGACTTGTAAATCCATGTTGCAAGTACAAGTGAGATATATTGGATGTAACACAAAAACAGAATGCTTGAAGAGCAAACATTTCAAATACCATATTGTTATAACTTATTCTTTTAATTTCACAAAGAAGTATTTAAATCAGTACCTATGACACACACAACAGAGACATTGATCCCAGTGTTCTCTCAAATTACTTCAGAGACAAACAGATGTAAAAGAGGCACAACAGAGAACAAATAAATGTAAGGAAATGTTACTAACACAAACATCTTTAATGAGGAACCCAGACCTCTGTGACTTTAGCTACTAGTCCAAAGCCCATCTCAAGCCACATCATTTCACCTTGTAAGATGGGTTAACAAAAGTAAACAGTCAAATGTTTAAAATCAAAAACCAATTCTGAGCGAATGGACTGAAACTATTTTGGCACAAAGAGAATTATCACGAAAAATTAAGACTTTAAATTAAACCAAATTGTCAAACAACTCAGGGCGTACTATCAGGAACTTATTCAGTCAGACTCACAGAATAATCACTGACAATTCCGGAAAATTATATTTATACTATTCATCTTCTTCCTCTTACCTGAATAGCAACATCTTAATGAATAACAAGCACCTGCTTCACAAAGGCATGTGAATGTATCAATGTTGGAGGTACCCAGAGCCAGTACATACAGCTATCACGAGGCTAATCACATCATGGTAAGCCTAATGACATAACCAATGATTGAGATTCACTTCTTTGCCCGCAACAATACACATTATATTGACCTGTCTTTCCCAGCCAATCAGCAACTGTGTCTCTGAGTGTATAGTCTTTTCTTACTAGGTCTTTGGCCATCGAGGAGTTGTCTTATTAAAACAACTCCCTCATTCTTTACACAATGAACTTGATTTGTTCAGGGAAATATGCCATACTTCATTCGGAAAAGAAGCAACAGGATGACTCAAATAAAAACACAGGAATAGGATGCTGTAAATCAATTGACAGCTTCAGTATATTAATTATTGGATATTTGATTAAATCAAAATCAGTCAGAGAGGTCCCAAGCTTATACCAATCTATGACTTAAGCCACTAGTCAGTAGCCGGAGTCCAGTATATTTTGCTTTGCTCTAAGAGGCTTCAGCTAATACTGGTCCATGTCCATCTTCCTGAGGCAAAAGTGTCACTAGGATCTATCAAAGCCTTGTATTCATCCTTGTCTATTGAGTGTTTCAGGTTTTCTCCAATGTGCACTATTACTTAGGATTTTACCTCGACTCACAAACATGGGGAAACTGGAGACCCCTAATTATCAATTTTATGGGTCCTTGCAAGCAATATGAGCATCCTGTGAAGTAACAGTGAAGATAACTGTACGTTTTGAGAATTTCTTTAGAGCCTGGAATGAATGATTGATCATGTGGACTGAGGGATGAAATGGTGCATGTAACTGCTCTGAGAGAAACAGCTAAACATTTAGCAAAGTCAAAGATGTGGGTACAACGAATAATATTGTGAAAATGTTTTTCTGCATCCATTCTCAACATTTCTGCGTACTGGATGCATATTTGCGCTTCACATAAAAACCTAATTACTACTATGTCAACTCGCCAATCTGTATGCCTCTATTAATGTAAGAGCTAAACACAGCAGAAACAAGCATCTTTACTGTGGTGATCTGTCTTTTTGTTACTCTCAGGAAGGAATCTTAATATGTTTTTAATCATATGATAGGCCAGGTCTTCTGCTGTTATAGTCAACATTGTGAATCGTCCATGTGATGTGGGTCGGTGGGGTATCCTAGCGGTTAAAGTGTTCACTTGTCATGCCGAACACCCGGGTTTGATTCCCCATATGGGTACAGTGTGTGAAGCCCATTTCGGGTGTCCCCTGCTGTCACAAGGGATGATGAAGTTTTACTAGCCAGAGACCACAGGACCAGCATAAATTTCGCACACTGATATACTATGACTGAAAATAACGCTACAGAAGTTACGGTTTGCAGATCAAAAGTGTTTTCTTTTATAAACCCTAACATATTCTGTAAATGAGGGGAAAAGGGATTTGGGCTTCTAAGTAGATGCACATGTTTTTGTGACTTTGCTGAGAGCTTTGGAATAATGCTCCTGCTTAACACTGATTCATTCTGTGAATACTATCACACTCTGTCAGGTGAATGCGTAAGGAAATCCCATAGTGATACAAGTCAAGACATTAACCACTGTTGTAAAAAGCTCAAGCAGTGGCTTAACTTAAAAACCAAGGACCATAACTGGCATTCTGGGTTTAAAATTTAGAGAGTCTTCTACCATTTGAATTTAAGGAGCCCCTGAGTCTTGAACATTAGGGATATGAAAAGGTCCATTTGACTTTTATGATTAATTTCAAACAGGAAACGCTGGTGTAATATATAATCCAAAGAGCATATACTCAGTGTTCACGAATGGTGTTTCAAAGTAACAGGACATTGGGTCTTGTAAGTTTCACATGTCTGTCTGACCCATTGAAAATTCACAGGACCCATAGAATAAAATTAAACTCACATTTCAGATTTAACATTTCTTATAATTGGCATTGAAATTATTAACAAACATAAGATTTATAAACAGCAATGAACAGCAAACAACTGTCACATGTCACATATAACAACTTCAGTCAAAGTCATTGTGAAATATACAGTCAGACACTGGGGCCGGTGGGTTGTAGACTTCTATTGGACCGTTGGCAAATCTACCGGAATTGTCAGAGGGTCAGATGCTATTCGTGAACACTGTATACTGAGAACCCTGGGATGTATCACGTTTGTGAGTGCAGAAAAGGCAGACACTGGCTTCCCTGCTGTTTTAGTAAGAAACTTCAGAACACACTATAGCTACTAAAATGATTCTCTGAGAAACAGCTAATCACTGTGACATATGTATGTGAGACTGGATGAAATGATCAATATGAACTAATTTAGCTTATAGCCAGATGAAAGCTTTCAGATGTGATTGTAGCTGCACGAATTATTGAACCAAGATAATTCAATGAGAATTCCTTTCAGTGAACTTAATCCACCTTCGAGCTTGAAGGACAAGCGTAATTTTTTTAAAGCCTCTTATAGTGGTAATTACAACATGGGATGTCATCGGCTAACCAAGAATGGATGTTATCATCACAAATTAACAACAGCTGGAAAAAGACAGGTGTGGTATTTCCAATATTTTCTTTAAATCAAGTTTAACAAACTGAATGCAATGATCCAAAGTCCTGGATTAGTAAAGTTCTGATTGTTCTATCAAGCACGCTTGTAACAGTAGATAAAATTTAACCTTGAAATTGACCGAAAATAGTGATCCAGCCTTGTCAGGGCTGGAAGACTAAAACATCAGACCACAATATAGACAGCATATGATAGGTTAGCATTGTAAGAGCAGCTGACGGGGTCGTTTTTGGCACGGGTACAGATATGTACCCCACGTACATTTAAGGTACGCCATACAGAAACGTAACCAAGCCAAATTCAGAAAACAGAAACATACCCTAGAATGAGACCATTCCTCATTTTGCCGTTCATTGGAATTATCATATTGTTGTCAGATGCATTTGACTGCATACAGAGTAATGAATATTTTCTGTTAAAGTCCAGTTTTCATCCTTGCTGAACTAGTGTGTTGAATTTCAAGGCTCTATTGTAGTGCTACCACATGGATGTGTCAAAACTCTCAACTGTGTCATACTGTGGCGCAGGCAAACTCTTGTCACATTTATCACTATTTTAACCCACAAATGTCTCAATGAATGTGTCAAATTCCCTGTTACCTCAGATGTAATTTACAATTCTAAAAACTGAATGTAAGTTGAAATTTAACAGGACAAGTCAAAATCAACATTTTAAAAAAACCCATACATGTTTAACCCAATTAGAATCGGTACAAGAGCAACAGCATGAGCATTGATCTGCGTAATTGGGATACAATGACATGTGTCAACCAAGTCAGCGAGCCTGACTAAAGTAAGGCCAGAAATGCTTGGAAAATGCTTTTTGGCTTCAAGATCAATATGATGAATTTGACACAAGACAAAAGCACATATATGATACATGTACGACTCTACCTAGTTGGATATTAAAGCTCAGATGAAAAAATGCAGTTTAGGGGTGACTTCACAAGAGGAAATTTTGACGAAATACAGACTATAATTATTCATATAGCCTCAACTAAA